GTTTGTTCTGGGATTTGATGAATTCTCTGACCCAATCAGATGCGTAGTTACCTAGCAGTATTGGATATGGATATCAATCGACTCTTTCTTTTTCAATAAGATAATGGCTCGCATATTTGTTTTTAACATTAAACCCACACAAAGCGCCTACAACACACTCACATATGCTTAATGCACATTTAAAAAGATGGAGAGACCAGCCAGAAGTAACAACGGAATCGTATGCTTGAAATAAATTTTGCCAAGCAGTACTAATCAAAATATATACTAATTGGAAGTATATATCTGAATTTTTCAGGAGGATGTTAAGTTGATGAGTGATACTGGATTGGAGGCCTACAGGTTCTCCATCTCTTGGTCTAGGCTTATTCCGAGTAAGAAAATATATACTAACCGCAATTAACTTGGGGAACTTGCAAAAAAATGCGTCTGGCCCTTACTGTTAAGTAATTTTAACTTTTAATCTATGGTTTCTATGATCACACAGGAGGAAGAGGACCCATCAATCCTAAAGGACTCGAGTACTACAATGACCTGATAGATAAGCTAGTCAAAAGGGGTAACTCTGAACAGATAGTGCTGTATTTCTAGGATTTTTGTGATATCAGACTGGATTTTAGGATTTAAGTCCCTCTGTTTATGATCATAAGAGAAAAAACAGAATTTTCTGGTTTACTTGATTTTTCTTCAACATATCTTTACCATATATAATTTTTTCAGTTCATATAAATTAACAACGGAATAGTATGCTCAAAAATTATTTTTTAATTCAAATTATCTCCCCAATTTTCTTCAGAAATTATGGTGCCCTTGAAGTTTTTTTAAAGCTGTTAGTGAAGGGACCACCTATATATTTGTCGACAAATTTTCTCCTAAAAATTTGACAGATGTAATTATAGTACAATCGTAGTGTAATTACACTGTAATTTGCATGTAACTACAGTGTAACTTATATGTAAGTTTCACGTAATTTTGAATCGCTAGATCTATTACAAGATTTGTTTTGGTGAGGAACAAAAAAAATTACAGCACACATATATGTGAAAGAATTTGTTCCCACAACCTCCATTTTACCGAAATAACATGTTATGGAGAGATTTTTGAAAGTTACATACAATTTACATTATAGTTACAGTGTAATTACACTACGATTGTGCTGTAATTACATCTGTCAAATTTTTGGGGGAAAATTTGTCGATAAATATATAGCAAAATTGTTAGTGAAACATTGTAATAGCTCCATATTTAAATATAGACTTTGTTGATTTTATTGGGTCTTTAGTATGTAACTTTGACATCTATTTTTCTATTAGAATATAAGAATAATTTGTAACAAAATTATAATATTCTAAAGTGCTTATAAAGAAAAATCTACGCATACAACTTTTATTTTTTTTTCAATCTTAATATTTCGAGAATTGTTGATAGATAAAATTTCAAAAGTTCGACAGAATAATATCGTATATTTATATATCACTCAATCCATTCTTGGTGGTTTCCTGCTAAACTCTAAGGTGCACAAATCTTTTGCGCAATCCCTAAGAAAGGAGAAATTTGTGATTGTTCTATGGGGATTGAGATACATGTGACTCTCTACCACCTCGATTTCCCTCAAGCTCTTCAAGATGAGTACAATGGCTGGCTCAGCCCAAGGATCATGTAAGATATACACTTCGATCTTTGATCAACCCCCCGATGATGATCACCACCCAGCTCTGATGAGCTGAGGCTCTGAAATTGTAATAACTTGGAGAAAAAAAAATTGTGCAGTGAGGATTTCACGGCGTATGCGGACGTGTGCTTCAGGGAGTTCGGCGACCTGGTGAGGCACTGGACCACCGTGGGCGAGCCCAACGTGCTGTCCATCGCCGGCTACGACAGCGGTGTCATCCCGCCGTGCCGCTGCTCGCCGCCGTTCGGGACCAGCTGCGCCGCCGGCGACTCCACCGTGGAGCCGTACTTCGCCGCACACAACTCCATCTTGGCTCATGCCTCCGCTGTCAGGCTGTACTGGGACAAGTACCAGGTGAGTGAACGAGTGAGCAAAAACATTTCGGAATGTAATTAAGAACATTCATGGGGGACCGAAATTTTCTGAATTTTGGAACTTACGATGGAAAAATTTTGAAATTTGAATAAATTTCTACTGAATTTAAACCAACTTTTCAAAATGCTAAATTTTGAACAGCTATTTTTTTTTGCCAAATCTGAGCATTCATTTTACTAAATTTATAAATTTAGATATCACTTGCCTGAAACACATCCTACCGCTATACCTGAAAGAAAAACGTCCAAATAACCCTCCTAAATTTTGATTGAAAATCTATCTAGCATCCCGAAGTTTTAAATTGGACATTCAACTTTTAAAGTTTACAATACCATTCAATGCCCTCTAAGTTGGTTTTATAAAGTCGTTTTTATTTAATTTGCATATAAGTTGGCTGAGTTTTTATCATGTAACATACGCATTGCACATATGTTAAAATTTTCACTTAAATCTTTTCTTTTACCTCTTGTTTGCTCGTATTTAGAAGAAAAGTACCAGCGTAACAATAGTATGACATCACTGTATAAATTGACAACCTGCAATTGACGATACATATATTATATTAGTTATTTAAAGCCACTGGTTTAAGATCCCAAATATGCAAAACCACTATCTAAAACCATGTTAGAAGGTAATATGAACGGTATGTAAAGTTTAAGAGGTTGTATGTCCGATTTTAAAGCTCATGATTACATGAACTTCCATCCAAAATTTAGAAGGATATTTGGACTTTTTGCTACTTAAAATTTAGGGAATTTGAAGACCTGAACGCACAGCTGAACTCTGTTCAGATTTTCAGAACTGAAAGATAGCTCGAAAAGATCTGTGCAGATTGCTCTATTGTTACCAACATGCGTCAACGATTGCAGGCTAAGCAGAAGGGCGTCGTTGGCACGAACATCTACAGCTTCTGGCCCTATCCGCTCTCCCGCAGCTGTGCAGACATTGACGCAGTTCAGAGAGTATTGGACTTCACGATTGGTTGGTGAGTGATCCGTTTCTTTTACGTTCTTTTACTTCTTAAATTTGTTTAAAAAGAAAAATTGACCATATACAATTATATATACGATGAGATTTTTCATACAAAAGTTATATATGCAATGAGATTTTTTTTTTGGGGGGTGGGGGGGATTATATGCAATGAGATGATGAGGAGACTTGAAATTGACCATTCCTGATTAGGATACTGGACCCCTTGGTGTATGGAGACTACCCTGAAATCATGAAGAAGCAAGCCGGTTCCCGGATTCCATCCTTCACAAAAGAACAATCTGAGTTGATCCGTGGGAGTGCCGATTTCATTGGTATAAACCATTACAAATCGTTGTATGTTAGCGATGGATCGAACCGCGAAAAGGCAGGACTTCGGGATTATAATGCTGATATGGCTGCACACTTCAGAGGTACTGCTATCTCCGTCCCAAATTAAGTTCACTTTGAGATGGAGGGAATAAGTTTTAAGTTAACGGTGAAAGCTGGTTTACCATGTATGCCATATTACACCTATGAGAATCTGAGACTTGTGAATCGAGAGACATGACCCCTTTTTCACAAGTAAATAGTAGTGTTATATACTTCCATTATTTAAAAACACTCTAGGAAGTAGTACACAGTACACATGACACAATATGATTATTATCTATTCTAACTACTCGTTTGACTTTTTGTGTTTCAGTTTCAAGGAATGATACACCGAGCGATAAGGTATTTGATCCTTTTTTTCATGCTTTCAGTTGTCAAACTAAATATATACATATATGAATTATTTAATGGAGACAAATTTCATGAATGTTTCTTTTTTCCCTTCTGCAGAGGTACTAAATATTCTCATTTCATTTTTTTTGCGTTTTTGGTACAGTATGCCCCTTCCAAGATCCTAAGCGATCCGTAGGGGCTGCAATGTATGCTCGAATACCTCAAAGACACGTACGAGGGCATTCCTGTTTATGTTCAAGAAAATGGCAAGTTCTCAAACTCAATATCTATCCATGTACAGCCCAATGGTGTTCTTCAACAGCGACATATCGTTATTTGATTAAATGTGCATTACAGTAATTCAAAAGTATATGGTGCTTGCACTGTAAAGTTTGTATTGGAAGCTCTCTTGATTTGAGAAAAATCTATGCTGAAATATTTTTAAAGAATTTAAATTCTGCAGGAACTGAAACACCAATCTTTTACATTTATAACCAGTTTTACATTTTAGAAAGAATATATAGTCAGTAAAGAAATCTCCATTTATAATGTAAAACTGTGATTTCATTGACGTCTTTACTGATTTAAATTATCTTCTAAAAACAGTGTTTATCTATTTACCAAATTTTAGGTTTCGGGCAGTTCGATAAGGAGGATTCACTGAATGACACCGAAAGAGTGGAGTACTTGAGTAGCTACATGGGCGGCACATTAGCTGCACTAAGGTAAGTTATGTTCCTTTCAGAAACTTTAAAAGAACACTGGATTTTATCTGAACATATATATGGGTGTTTGTGCATATGCTGATGCAGGAATGGAGCCAATGTGAAGGGTTACTTTGTGTGGTCATTCCTGGATGTGTTCGAGCTGTTCGCAGGATATCATTCGCCATTCGGCCTGCACCATGTCGATTTTGAGGACCCCAGTTTGCCAAGGCAGCCAAAGCTCTCTGCTCAGTGGTACTCCAAGTTCTTGAGGAGTGAAATTGGAATAAACATAGAAAAAATGGTTAGTCCCGATGAACATGAACACGCTTATTATCAGTGAGCTTGTCAGCAGTGCATGATATTCAGTTGTTATCTTTCTCTTATTTAAAAAAAAAACTCTCTTTTCTGGTTTCCTAATAGTTAGCCATTGCTCACAGTCTGGTTTTTACTGATGGGTTATTTGGTTATATGTTCCTCAGTGGTAGATAATCATGTTCATGTTGTGATGACTCTTTACAGCTGAGCTGAAAATAATCAGATACTTATTGTAGTTAAAATCCTGTGAAATGCTAGTACTGTCTTCTAATCATGCCTGAATAAAAACCCACATCAATTTAGTAGCAAGCAAATTGAAATATCACAGTGATATGATTGTGCAAGTTTCACTCGTTCCAGATTGTGATAATTAGAGGAAGCTAAGACATGAACTAGACTGCTACAATTATTCAGCTTGACAGCATGATCCTCCTAAACCTTCAGGCTTATGCAAGTTAACCTTCTTGCTTTAGTAGATAGGCTTCCTTCCAACTTCCTGCTGAGCAGTTGACAGTTGACACCACGGATCAACACTGTAAATCGGAAGAGCAAGACATGAAAATGCAGAGACAGATCAGAGTGACAAATAAATAAATAAATAAATTTTGAATGAACTTTTGAGAAGAAACAATTTAGAGTTATGCACATATCATACCACCCCAAGTACTTGTTGCAGTACCATTCTCCTACATGTCGTCATGAGGAGGGAGCTTACTGTTACTGAACTCCTTGTCACTCTGAACAAACATCAAGAACAGAACAAAATGAAAATTTGAATATCAAACAGCACATGTAATGTTTGATGATATGGCTATTTACCCCGAAACTAACACAAGATAGAAGGCATGGCAGACCAAAAATTAACAAGGAAATCATGTGCAGAAAATTCAGAAGCAAAGATTACCTCGACATGAGACGGCTCCTCGCCGTGCTGCTTGGACTTGCCAGAGAAGACGTTGTGAACAAAGCCACCAATGCTGCTGAACCATCAGAAGCAAACTCAAACATCTCTCTCACACACACACAAAAAAAGAACAAAATACAAACAATCTCCAAATTTCAGTTCCCCCCCCCCCACCCCCACCCCCACCCCCCCCCCCCCCCCCCCCCCCAAAAAAAAAAAAAAAAAAAACCTTGGACGGTAAAAAGAAGGGGGAAAAAGAGAGGTAGATTGAATTTGTCCCAAATTTTATCTTTGGCCAGTAAAAACTAAAAACTTTTTCAGTCCGAAAGCAAGTGAAGTGACATACTCGTCGTCGCCGTTGGCCTCTGCCCGGTGTCTCGCGTTCGCGGCGATGCGGTCCAGCATCCGGCTCCCCTCCTCGTCAACCTTCTCCCAGTAACCCGTCGGCTTCTCACCCTGCACAGAAACCGAGAATCAAACAGAAAACCATTACGAAATCACAGCGATTCATCCGTGTCAATCTCAAAATTAAAGACGCTTCAAACAACACCCTTCTGAAATCCAAGATCTAACCTTGCATTTTTCTTTTCTTTTTTTTTGCGCTTCAAACTATATTTATGGAGTGATATATAATTTTTCATTTTTTTTCTTGTAGTTATTTGAGTGACATGCAGACGTTCGTTCCCTCGAAAGTTTGAAATCCACCTCTCCTGAATGAAATCAAAGATCTCACCTCGCCGTCGTCGGTGCCTTGCCTGAGCAGGTCGGCGATGAACTCGTACGCGTCGCTGCCGAACTTGACGCTGCTCACTCGTCGTCGCCATGATGATCCAAGTCAAAAATCCTCCAAATCAAGAAACGCGCGGGAACGGGGATACGTACGGTGTAAGTGTAGCTCGATCGTACCTGTCGTCGCCGAAGGGGATACGGTGGCCGCCGCCGCCGCCCGCCGCCGAGGCTGAGGACGACGACGACTCGGCGTCGGCGGCCAAGCGGTCGAGCCACCGGCTCTCCTCGTCGTCGGCCACGCTCCACGAGGCCTTGACGTTGCCATGGCCAGGCAGGTTGAACTCGAACGTCCCTCCCGGCTGCTGCTGCTGCTGCTGGTGGCGCTCCTCCTCACCCGCCGCCGCCGCCGCCGCCACCACCACCACCGCCACGGCGGCGGCGGCGGCGAGGAGCAGGAGGCCGCGGGCGCGGCTGCGCCTTGCGCCGCGGCGAGCTGCCGGTCGAGCCATCCACTATTGCAGTCACAGCTTTCTTAATTTACTCTGTTGCTTACTACAAAATCAATCGCAACAATGCTTGCAAATTTGCAATCCATGGCTTCCTCTATATATAGAGAGAGACGGAGATATATATTCTTGTTTTGATTTTGCTATATATTTGTTGATAAGTTTTTTGCTAAAAATTTAACATATATAAATACACTATAATCCTAGTGTAATTATATATTTATATTATAACTTATATGTAACTATAATGTAATTTTGCACAGTTCAATTTGCTTTAAAATTTGTGAAACGGAGGTAGGAAAAAAATCACAAGTTCACAACCCACGCACATGTCAAGGGATTCGGTATCTTTACCTCCGTTTTCACGGAATTAGCATGCCATCTAGAGATTTTTAAAAGTTACGTATACACTATAATTACATTATAATTGTATTATATTCACATCTGTCAAATTTTTTATATAGCTAATTCCTCTTGTTTTTAACTGAGGATTAGTGGGCGGTTGAATTCCTATGATCATGTGTCATTATCTGAGAAATTGTACTAGCTGATCATGCAGTGTGTGCCTCTCAACTGTGAAAAAGAGGGTGGTGTACCTACCAACCACATCAAGCAGTTTTTGTTGAGACAGATGCATGTGCATTGCCCGGCGAAAAATGTGGCCGTATGCGTTAGAAACGACTTTGCAGTTGCAGAGTTGCATTTGCTTTCACTGCTAGTCCATGCTACTTCAAGCAGTGTCACTTTCTTGGATGAATTTAAAGCGTATACACATACATACAGCCATACAGGTATAGTGATCAGGGTGCAAAATTGGCAGCCTTTGCTGGAACTCACTAGCATGTGCACTTAAGTTGCAAAAAATACAAAAATACTCAACTTTCCCAATCGAATAAATGAGATAAATAAACATTACTACTTTAGAACCTCTTAAGCATAGTGCTTCATCAAGCATATCACTGCTTTAGGATTAATTAGAGCACCTCTTGCTCTACGTGGCTTTAAGACAAAATAGTTATCTTTTGATAAGCACCTGCATTGGAGATTTGGAGATGGCCTGACAATATCTCTGCATCTTTCCGTGCTTTCTTTCATGGCCATGGCTGAGACCGAACTGGAGTCGCTTGGATCACGAAATCATCAACCTGACACTGTCTTGATATCGCTGAGCAGAGAGATATTTGCTGAGCATGGATGATCAGAGAGGAGCAGAGATGATAGCCACATGCGTTGACTCTGCATGTCCATGCATGCATACAGGCCATTGGAGCCAGCACCGATCAACTTACCAATCATTCCCAAATAACAATTTCATCTCCTCTTTATACATTGATTAATTAGGATAAGTCAGGTTGGCATAAGTCAAAAGTAAATGCCATGGACACATGCATGATCATATCCCTGGCAAGATATATCATCCACAGCAGAAAGTCGCAGAGACCAATTGTAGAGCCCTGCCATTGTTCAAAACAAGGTGGCCGTTTTACCATGACATATGAGGATGGCCCATCGTTGATTTGATCATATTCCTGCAAGCCACATCTTCAAATCATTTTGACCGCGGATATGTTCAACACGGCGATATCTTTCACAAAGGGGACAAAAAGGAAATACAACCTGATGAAGACATGTCACAGATTATCTGAGAGAATGAAGACGTGTCACTTCACCTATGCAATCCACTTTAAGGAAACATATACGTGATTTTTCAACGAGATTGTATGTTGCTCAGTTGTTGTCTACTACAACATGTGTTAAAAGGACGCGTTCACGGAGGGTGTAAGTGTCGCGTTGCATGTGCAGTGATGTGTATGCGTGTCATAAAAAAAATGTGGCATTTGAATAAATGTTCTATCCTTGGTTCTATCTGTTGGCGGAATAAATCGTGTCCGTCGTGTGGGCTGGATTCGTTTGTGGGCCAAATTCATTCGACCGCCAAATTTGGTGATGATGATTAACCAGGCTGATTTTAGTGGTGGCCTACCAGTGGGCCGAATTAATTGAACAGAAGTATCTGGGCCGAATTCACTGATAGACTGAATTAGTTGGTTGGTAATAGGTGGGCTTAATTCGCTCGGGCCTGAATTCGTTGACTGGAACTAAGTGGGCTTAATTCGTTCGTGGATATCGGTGGACTTCAGCCTTTAAGGTGATTTATACGTGCATATGCTCTGCGTCCCAAAATCAAAATTTATCTCAAAATATAATAACTTATTTATCTATATTTTCTTTTTTTTTTTGACTGAAGAAGGTAGAGCACGCTCCACCTTGCAATCATTTCATTAATAGAAATGAGGTTTTCAGGTTACAAGTTAGAGGTTATAGTTAACCTAGAACAGAAAGGGAAAAAAACGATAAGGAAGAAGAGAAGAAACAAAAACAAAAAGAAAAGAGAACTGGGGGGGGGGGGGGTGGATTTACAAAGATATAAACAAGGGTTCTTATATGTGGTACTGGTACACCAGGATTGAATTTTCTGCCTGTTTGATTTATTGGTTCTCATGCTCCAAAGATCAAGGGTGTCTCAGACTTGTTGTGTGATGTGCTGTAGGTTGTCAAGCTGACCTTCAAACACTCTGTTGTTGCGGGATTTCCATAGCGTGTAGGTGCAAGCAGCGAACCAAATTGGTTCTATTCCTTTTGAAGACCGATTGCTATCTATGATTGCTTGAAGAAAAGCCGAGCTTGATTCTAAGTTGTTGGCCAACTGCAGTAAGTTTAGTTTTTTCATCTATATTTTCTTACGACCTTTCATCATTTAAGTTTCATATCTATCTTATTTTCTCAACCAATCGTAACATTTCCTCATTTAGTTTCATCAACTTTCTACTCGTGTCCAATTCTAAAACTTCTTATATCACGGACACATTAGTACTTTGCCTTTGCAAATTGCACGGTTGTAACGTACTCCCTTTGTCCAAAAAAAACCCAACCTCGTACTAGATCCCATCCTTCGTCCTATATCCCAACCTCGTACTAGATCCCATCCTTCGTACTATATCCCATCCTAGTATGAGGTTGGGTTTTTTTGGATGGAACTACGATGCGTCCCATCCTAGTACGAGGTTAGTTTTTTTTTTTTTTTGGATGGAAGGGGTACGTGTTTGTTGGTGCCTTGGTGGGTCCAAAAAATAATAAGACGCCCCTGGGAAACATTTTTCAGGCGCATAACGGTGTAACATGAGGCAAGAAGGCCAGCTTGCTCTGCATCTCTCAGGGCAATGTCACTGCAGAAAAATATACCAACGGATGTGGGCATGTGGCATTCTAGACTTGTACTATTATTGTTTTCCCCAGCTGACAACCATATATCAGGTCGTTCGAACAGCTAATGCATAGTATACACAATATAAGACTAAAATGTACTCCATATCTCAGTTCGCATTTCATGTCAACAATCATAGTCATTAACATCAGGTACCTACTGCATAAGTGCAAATGCAGACTTGAGAATGTAGACCATTTCATACAAGTAACATTACAGCAAACATCAGCGATGCTATCTCATATTAGTATCAAAGCAGACCATGAATACAAAGCTGTTGACTTAGCAGTTATATCCGTGCAACAAAAATCACAGCGAGACCAGAAGGACCAGACAAATCCACCTTCCTGATCATCTCTTCTTAAAACCATATTTCTTGCGCTCATAGAAGAGATCGGTCTTGGCGCTTCCAAGGTTGACAATCTTAGGACATCCATCTCGGTCCTTTTCTTGCTGAGTGCACTCCTTGCAGTAGTAAGCATCTGAGATGCCAACCCCTCCACAGATAACACACCTTCCCTGGAAGGATCCATAGTTGCACTCATCACAGACCCGAACAAGCGTACACGGGCGCACGTAGGAGTCACAGATGACACACTTGCCATCACATTTCTCACATAAACGACCAATCGCAATGCCAGGCTGCTTCCTGCACATGATGAGATCAGGATGATGCTTTGCCATGGCTGTCAAATGCTAACCTGCAGAACCATAACAGAGTGCAAATATAGATTAATGCTGGTAATAAGTCAGTCAGGAATAACAAGCAATACTGACTACAGACTTTCAAGTGTATAATTTAATAGGCACATCAATCAAACAGCACAATTTCTAAAAAAAAAAAAAAATTCAAGACACATGGTTGAACAAATGGGTTACTGACTTACTGGTACTGCTAGACCACAAAGGAAAATACATCCATATTGCTATTCAGCTATTGGTTTAAAGACTCTTATGATCTCTGCATGTAATACCCCAAGAGATTACGGACTTTCCAGTGGAAAATTTAACATGCACATCAATTGATCGGAACAATTTAAAGAAAAAAAATCAAGACGCATGGTTGAGCAAATGGGTTACTAACTCATGGCTCCCATCGGTTGCCCATTTGGCCAAAATGGCTTATTTGGCTTATTAGAAAATTAAAATTAATTTATAAGTAAAACTTTTGTAGATTTGTTCGTAGCGACTTAAAAGCCAACATTAACAAAAATTACGTTAAAAGCATTTCAAAATCAACTTCAAAATCAAGTTCAAAAATTCAAATTTTAGCTTATTCTTTGGCTGTTTAGGCCAAACGATGGGGCTATTATTGGTACTGATAGACCACAAAGGATCACTTCATTTTGCTAGACCTAAAGACAGAATGCTCATGCAGCTAACGACCCCAAAGAGTGTGGAGGTATTGAAAGAAGTTGATGCTCAGGGCCAGAAAGAGATGGAGGTGGCTGGTGATGCCTAATGACCCAGAGGCCGGGGCTACCACCTGACTGGAAACAAGGGATTGAAGGCTGGAGATGGCTTGAACTAAACAGTATGTTATTGCCTAACCTTGCAACCGCACTAACAAAGATTACTCAGAACAGAATAGAGATGCCGGCTACGATTTGGGTAGGAGCAATCAGCAACACTTTGAAGCACTGGTAGCAGTTCATTATCGAATTAACAAGCTATGCAAGCAACAGCGTGTGTCAGTGCTTCTTCCCCCCCACCATCTCAAACCTTCGTAATATTTGCAATTTATAATTTATCATGTCTGGTTGTAGCTAGAACTTACTAATTCACATGAAGAAATTTAAGCACGCATCTACAGACTGCAGAGTAGAGATGCTAAATTATCGAAGCGCTACAGCTCTTACTTCTATAGCGCATCAGTGAGCAGGATTCTTGGCACAATCTCTCTAAAACCCAACCTAATTCAAACATCCAAAAATATATATATAACGCACGAAGCCTCAATGCAAAGATATTTGCCGCCCGCATGCCAAGTTCCCCTACCCCCGCCCGCACTAACACATCATCGGAAGGCAGTGCGGATCTAGGGTTTGGTACCGGTGGCGGTGGTGCTCGGCGTCTTCGGCTGGGAACAACGGGACGCCGCCGGGATGAGGCGAAGATGCCAGCGGCGCGGTGGCGTCCGGAGGAGGAAGAGAGGATGGGGGAGGGAGGTCGTGCGTACCTGGGGATGGAGGGAGTGGGGACTTGGCGAAGCTGCGAGGCCGCTCGCCGCCGCCGCCGGGGAACCGGGGGAGAGAGGATGATGCTGCGGGGAGGAAGAGGCGAGGCGAGGCGGCCGGCGGCGAAGAAGAAGTGGGGTTTCGCGGCGGCGCGACCTCGCGACGCGTTGTGTCCTTTAATTGCTCCGCGAGAAGGAGAGTGGGGGAATCGCGAGGGAGCGAGAGGGGTCCCGAACTCGCGACGGTGAGATTTGGACTTTGGAGACGAAGGCCCGATTCCTTTACTTTTTCCTTTCTCGGAGCTTTGATTGCTACTAACTATCCTATCTTCGTTGATTTTTATCACATGTTTAGGGCTCCTTTAATTCAGAGGAAATTCATAGGAATTTTAGAGGATTTTATTCCTATAGGAATTTTTCCTACAAAACCCTTTGAATCAAAGGAATAAACCCTATGAAATCCTATGAAATTACTATGAAATGCCTCTTCCCATATAAGTTTTGGAGGAATTTTAACAAGAGGTAGAACCTCATGGAAGAAATCCTTTGAGTCTTTATCTCTTCTCAAATTCCTATGTTTTTCCTGTGGTCCAATCAAACGGTCATTTCTACGTTTTTCCTGTGTTTTGCAATCCTCTATTTTATACTTTCAGGGCCCCTTTGATTCGTAGGAAAAGTGTAGGAAATTTGAAGGATTTCAATCCTATGAAAAAAATTCCTATGAAAGCCTTTGAAACAAAGGATTGAATCCTATACTATCCTTTAAAATTCCCATGTAATGGCTAATCCTATAGAGATTTTGGAGGAAAGTTAGCAAGAGGTCCAACCTCTTAGAAAAATTCCTTTGAGTCTATCTCTCTCATCCGATTCATGCGTTTTTCCTGTGGTCCAATCAAACGGTTATTCCTGTGTTTTTTCTGTATTTTCCAATCCTCTGTTTTACACCTGCATTCCTGTCAGAATCCTACGTTTTTCCTATTTCTCCGTTTTATCATTCCTGCGATTCAAAGGGGCCCTCATTCATGTCAGAATCCTATGTTTTTCCTATTCCTCCGTTTTTTCATTCCTGTGATTCAAAGGGGCCCTTAACCATTCGTCTTATTAAAAAAAATTACGTAATTATAATTTATTTTATTGTGAGTTGTTTTATCGCTCAAAATACTTTAAGCATGATTTATATCTATACATTTATATAAATTTTTTTTGAATAAAACGAATAGTCAAACATATGTTCAAAAGTCAACGGCGTCATCTATTAAAAAACGGAGGGAGTATATTCTAATGTACCAAAACAGTTTATTAGGGAGTAAAAATTAATTTTTAGATAAAATTTTTATTTATTTGTTCTTATCGACTTAAAAGTCAATGTAAATTATAGCTTTTGCTTTGACTTATTAGGCCAACCGATGGGACTCTCGAACAACTGTCCTTTTGTTTTTTTTTATATAGGCCATCGTTTTGTTCTATTTCTTGTAAAAATTGCTAAATCTTGTTTACATTTGTGTTATAACGTTAAGACAGCAATTTTCAGATTTGTTTTGCAACCTCATTTTAAGATATAGTGATTTTTATCTATATATTTGGACCGACGGGTTTACTACGGTAAGATTTCTTTGATTCCAATTACGAAGACTGCGAAATAACCCCACCTCCAGATTTTCAGATCCAAACTGGTCCATTTCTCTAGTTTTTACCAGCTCTTATTTGGTAAGGGATAGGTTGTCATGCTGTAACCTACGGAGAAGAAAAACATCAATGATTAATGAGCAAACGAGCATGCATTGGCATGAAACTTGAACAAACAAGTGGCGTTTCATCTTTCAAATTATAAACCTAATTCATCATCAATATGCCTCCATAGGGCAAGAAAAATCTACAGAATGCGGAATCCAGGACTGCGAAAGCCAGTTGTTCCAGTAGCTGAAAGTGACCTGAAGCAATCTACTATACTTCCAGAAATAAATAAATAAAAACAAGGAACAGAACTAGACAAGAGTGATCTTCATCACTCTTAAGTGCAACAAGGTAGGAACTGCACACTTGTCAGATGCACATGAAGAGATAAAAAGCAGGCGATTACAGGGACGTTTGAGAATAAATCACAGGGTAAGTTGTTGGTGCCAGCAAATTATAAGTTGCTAGTAATCATGGCAATCATATCAGCTGAATTCACACGACCCCAAGCAAAAGAGTACAGAACAATTCTGAATTAGTTACGACTTTCATGATTTTCCTCGAGGTACAGAGCGCACGCCATCTTCTCTGATAGTAATCTCAAACCACAGTAGTACAGTAATGCATACACCAATTTTCATAGGCAAAATTTTCTTCCCATTAGTGGGAGCAAGAGGAATACGGTACACAGTGAAAGAGAATCCTAAACACTCGTATGATACTACTTCAGAGGATGGATGATGCTCTTGCCAACAACATGGTATCTTTCACATAGCTTTTTCAGGGTACCAACCGAGTGTTGCATCGTGTTCAGCTTGATATCCATGAACATGGCCTGCAAACATAATATCTTTTCAGTTCACATTTTCAAAATTCAAGTATCCATTGATTATGAACTCCATTGAGAAGTAAAATTGAACATAGCACCCAATGTAATTTGAATACTTTCATATACCTTGTAGTCATCACCATGCTTCTCTATTAATCTGCCAATATAAATCCGTTGAACTTTTGTCAGTGGTTCCAAAGGTGCAGATTTCCCATCCCGCCTCTGCTTTCCAAGTGCAGATTTCAGATCTACAGTCCAAAGAAACTTATGCATGAGTTTACAAAGCGTTGACGTTCTGCTAGTAAGATCACAAGCATATTCTTATGCAAAATTCTGTGTCATAACTAAGTAACAAATTAATGAATGATAATAGCATACCTTGACCACTATGACAAGCATGATCACATGAACTGCTAATCAAAGAACATGCAAAACTATACCAATTGAACTTCTAACATGTTCTACTGCCATATATCAACATGCCCAAAGAAAGCATAAAAGAACTATAATGTGATCGCACAGCTGGGGTGAGTATTTCAGTTTAATACTGCAGATATAAATTAGCAACAGAAAAGAGAAAAAGATTATTTAAAACAATGTCTCCAATAATTTTCAGGTCTACATGAAAATAAAACAGGCCACTGACACTTTTGAAATGGAAAGGTGGGGAAAAACTATAATATCGTAACATTGAAAGAAAATGTTAAAAGCATCTGTTTTCCAATACATTGCATGTTTACACATATAAAGCAAATTCCGCCCATGGGACTTGTATTATTATCTTCAGTGGCGACCAGTGTATTATTCACATTCTATTTACAGAGTATTATCTTTGGTCAACATATCATCTTAAACATTTCTTAAGCAAATGCTCATAATTCATAAATACATGATACTGGCCTGCTTACTCTGGGTAAACAATCAATAGATATATTTCAGATCGAATGTGCATATAATCAGAAATCAATATGGTTCGATTCCAATCAGCATACTATGGTGCTTCTTTGATTTTCACAGGTATGGTTTTCTTGTCCACAGACTACTGGCTGAATTCAAGATGATCCCAACCTGACATGACCTGTAATTTATCCAAACATTACATACATACACTGCCAATAATTTTGCATACCAATTGGTCTATCTCTTTTTGATGCTATGTCGATGTTTAAAGTTGATCAAGCATTGCTGTATTGAAGCATCACATCAGCCACAGTGATTATGCTTGCCCAAAGCTCAGAACTAATCAGATTAGTACCAATTTCTTGCCAAAATGCTCAAAATCAAGGATCCCAGAGCATATTAGATTCAAATGAGCATGTTTTCGTAATGGCCTCATCATACTGCGCGTTTTAGCCACTTAAAAACAATCGTTCAAAGTTCAACCGAAATCGAATATACTCCAGCATCATATCCCACAAACCATACCCAACCACAAATATGATTTAAACATGAAGCTATCAGCTTTCACAAGGCAGGAACGAGCGAGTGGAAAGGGGAACCGGGGGAGGACTGACCGTCGGACTCGAGGTCGCTGCCGGAGTCGACGGGCTCGAACTCGTCAACGGGGGCGCGCGCCGCGTCGATGTCGGGCGCCTGGAGCGGCGCGCTCTGGACGAGGCGCGGCGTGCCGCGGGCGTGCGCGCCGAGGAGGTTCGGGTTCGCGACGACCCCGAACGCGGCGTAGTTCTTCACCACGCTTCCCTCCGCGTCCCAGCTCGGCGCGTGGCCGCCGCCCTCGGCCGCGGCGGCGGCGGCGAGCGCCTCGGGCAGGTCGAAGGCCGGCTTGAACTCCCGCGGCTTCTTGCGCGGCAGGCCCACCTTCACCTGGGCGCGGGAGCGCTTGAGCTTGCGGCGCGATCCCCCCATGCTCCTCCTCCTCCTCCTCGATAGCTAGCTAGGGTTTGGACGCGCGAGCCGAGCGGCTAGGGTTTTGGGTGGAGGGAGACGAAAGAGGAAGAAGAAGAAGAGGAGATCTTTAATGGGCCTCCACGAGAAAATTATGAGGCCTGGAGGCCCATTAGGTTGTCTTAGGCTTTGGGTTAATTGGATCCTTGAAACTTGACGGGGTATTTTAATTTGGACATCTTTTAAAATCATTTTTTTCATTCAAAAAAGTTGAAAGGAATTTACCATTGCAAAGACACAACTTGTCTCTATCCTTCGAAAACGTTACCTATTAAGCCCCCAATGAATAAGAAAATATCGTGCTCTTTCCAACCACTCATTCCGCGTATCTCGTGTCCCCTCTCTCTCTCTCTCCCTCCCGTCTCTCTCCCACGTAGGTCCTCAGCAGTCAACAGCGGAGATAGAGGACCGGCGTGGCGGTTAACGGTGGTGGAGGGGAGGCAGCACCGGGGAAGATGGACATAGGGAGTCATCTCCCTAGTGTCGGTGGCCCTGGCAAAAGGACGGCGGAGAAGCGGTGAAGAGGAGGTCCATCTCCTGGTCGATGGCAGAGCTAATGGCGATGCAGAGGGGATGGGGCCGGCAGGGGTCGATGACGGCCGTGGGGTGGGAGGGGGCGTCCTTCCTATGCAGCTCCCCAGCAAGAACTTGCAGATATCGGCACGAGTGGAAGCTGCAGGAAGACAATGACCCTTACATAGATCCGTATGTGGCATGGCTCCTATTCGTCGGCGATGATGGGGTGACGAAAGCTTAGGCAATAGCAGCTACCCGCCTTGGGGGAGTAGAAGGCATTGCAGGATCCTGGTGTGAAAGAGAATAGACAAATTGTAAAACTCCAATTGCACGGCTACAAATAGACTAATAATTGTAATGACATTTATCTGAATAGGCACATTTGCAATGATACGGTGTTGCATTTTGCTAATAAGTATATTATTCCAGAGGAAACACCTGTAATACGATGATGTAGTCATGGGATGTGCACAACTTTACATACCAGGATTTAAATCCTAGTACTTACGAATATTACAAACATGTAACTGGACTTTTAACAAGTTTTTAGTGAGGTCCGGGAAAAGCCTCTGATTTTCGTCTCTTTGAGCGTATATTAGGAGACTCGTTTGCATGTGTGTCTACGGTGTAAGCGAAAAAAAATATTATACCAAAATAATATGGAGTTATTTTAAGACCAAATCAAAACAGTGGCTTTGTGAGCGCACAGACTTGTGTGCCTATAAATTTTCTCAAGGAAAAAACAGCACTAACTTTTGAAAGCACAAATAACTTATACCAAACTAGCCAAGCGCCCGTAAGTTGCAACGGAACAGAACTGCTACGAATGCATAAAGACAAAATTCTCCAAATTTGCTTATAATCACATTCCATGACTTCATCTAAACAAACTTGATCGAAGCTACGCTTTGGCAGTTGGCACACGTCTTTCTCACCACTCCCATCCACCAAATATGCTTATATGCCCGTCAGCTCTAGCTCTGCACCCTGTTTATGCTCCATTGTGCCTTGTCCTATTCTGTTTTTGCAACTGGTCATCATAAAGGCAACAAAAAAAAGTCATGGAAAATATTAGAGTTATAAAATGTGGAAATTGCTCAAATTTATTATTTGATATTTGGGATGCTTTGAAAGTGAGGTGCAAAATTATTTGTGAGGGAGAAAGACTAAGGAAAATCTCCATAGGATTTTATTCCTACAAAATTCCTCCATTTTAAGTTTATTCCAAATGAGCCCTTAACAAAAGGAACCGACTATAAAGCTTATAATTTTAGGGCAATAAAATTATAATACTACCTGCACTTTAATCTTAGAAGGGAGAAGACACCATTACCACAACTAGAAAGGTAGCCCGCGCATTCGCACAGGCATGCGTCATACGTTAAGTTTGAGACACTTATAAGAGCGAAATATTAAACGGAGAATATCTGTCACGATTTCTCCATAAATTATTTTCGTCGGCATTAATTGCTTTTATAATTTTCTAACCTATTAGCTTTATATTATATCATATTTAAGTAATATCTATAAGCAATTATATATAATCTACTTTATCATTTGAAAAGAAGGTAGACTTATTTTCTTTAGAAAACATGTCAACGAAAGTAAAAGTAAGTGTAAAGCAAAAGTAAGGCGTTTTTCGTTTTTTAGTTGCATATATATTATCATATTTGACCTACTTTTTTCTTTCTGTGTAGAATGTCTGATTTAGTTATGAATGTTTGCAAAACAATATATGATGGTGCAATGTATGTTGTTGAATTATTTTTATAGTTTCTTATGGTAATGTGAATGACATGTAAAATGGAAGGGATGGTGTCCATCGGTAAAAACATAAACATGAATTTATCATTTTTGTTTGGATACTATTGATTTAATTTAGTTATACATATTTCTATATTGATGTATAATGACGAAATATACGTTGATATTATCTTAAGTATTTCATGGCTATTTGGTTGACGTGCAAAGTACACGGTCGAGTATGCCCAGATGCCATATATTTATATAGTAAAATGTTAGCATATAGATCTTCAGTTGTTCGTTTAATTAGAAATAAAGTAATAATCAGATTAGAAATTATACGTGTAGCTTAAAATCATAGTCCTTTTAATATCTACAATTATTGATTGTTTTTATTTTTAGTTTAATAGCTGAAAATAAAAAAAGAAGACTTGAGAGGAATGAAAAGCATAGAGCTTTAAGACAGAGATGGGAGGAGGTGGGCAGTGTCGTAGTGTTGTGTGAATGTGATGTGGGTCTGAGGTGGAGGGGACATTATTTTTCTAATCTTTCTGAATGATCCAAGTGAAAAAAATATTTTTTTCTCATATTTCTAAGTTTTTCTTTGATATTTATGACATGTCATGTTGCGGCTTATATTTTCTCAAAGAGAAAGAAGATCTAATGTTTAAAAATAATTGGTCATCGATTTATATTGAAACTAATGGATAGATGTTTTTTCTTTGAATTTCTATTTTTTTCCAACTTTTAAAATGTGACACGTGATGACTTACAAAACGCTATAGAGGAAGTTTAATTGATCTTTATATTGTAAAACGATCTAGATGACATAGTATATATTGACTTTTTTAATTGAGTGTGGCTATGTAAGTACATTACGTGCTTACTCCAGGATAAGAGGTGGGGTTTTACATGAGGATGATGTGTGTCTAATTAATCTAATATAACGGTTTATAAGGTTGGACTCACCGATTTAATTGAAAATCGAGGGATGGATGTTTTGCTTTTTCTCAAATTTTGTACAATTTTCTTTAGTTTATTAGATCTAATCCAATGGTGTAAAATAACGGGTTCACCAATTTAAGTGAAAATCGACGATGAGATTAAATATTGCCACATGGTGGTCTAGGAGCGTTTGTATGAGTGCCACGTGGCGGCTTAAGAGCGTTTCTAGGAAGTTTAATGGACTTTTAATATATAATATAATAGAAAGAATAGAATAGATAGATAGATAATCAATCACATTGCGAGCTTTCCATTGAACTACAAGTCTAAAATTATCTTGACAACACAGGAATATATAGCTTCTTCACTCTTCAGTCCTTCCACTGTCTATGAAAATTTCCAACCAAAGGCCGAGACGTTTGATCAAAATCTTCACTTTTCCATGTGCCGCAGAACCAGAACAGAGAAGCAAGAAGGGCTTAACTCTAAAGATGACAAATTATTGCTACACAGAAAACAAATGGATTCTAAGTAGTATAGTAGTACATATTTGCACACAATAGCTAAAATTCATATCCGCATTGTCATCAACAGCATAAAAAAATGTCAACTACTGGAGAGAAAACCAGAGTAAAACTAAATAATTCATTACAGAAGACAAGCAAAGTGTGTATAAATATAGCATCAGTTACGCAAACCATTTGATACACCATGGTCCTGAATAAAGTGAAGATGTGAGCAAGCATCAGTTCATCTGCTGGTAAGAGAAGTAGAGAACTCATACATGTATGCACGTTGAACCATCACTCTATTTAAAAACCAATCAGGAAAGTACTGGTGAATTGTGAAGTCAGCATTAAAAATTAACACATCATGCTGTCAATGGGTACCGTCGAAGAACGAGCAGAAACTAAAAGGCTAAATATGAACATAGGGATACTGAAAAAACTGTTTCACTAAAAGGATAACATACTTGCCATTGGTTCATCATACACTCGGTATCATAACTTCAATTTGACTACCAACATGCTTGTAGGGCTTACTGAAGTCATCTTAAAGTAATATCAGCAGTATTTTGTTCCAAAATTATGGTAAACAATGTGAAATAGAAGATAATTTGACTACCAAGGCGGCAACAATATGCACTTTTGTGATACACAAATACTAATATACGCCTCAAAGCCACCTGTGTAGTAGACTTCTTCTGTATCACTCTTTCAGCTCACCTAAGAAGCAGAAAGACAAAAACACAAAACTGAGTAATGGTCGAGGAGTTGCCACGAAATTAGTGCAATTGAAAATCAAAAGAAGAACAGCAGCTCTGAGCATTTCATAGAATCGAGATGTAATATGTAAACAAGTTAGAGGTTGCATTACTTCATAGATAGGATAAGTCAAGGTGACGGAACCAGAGTACCAGACTGCCAGAGCTCTGTACATACTATACTGGCAGTCAGTGAGCTGAGCTACACCCTACAACAGATACTATCAGCCCATCTCATCTCAGAGTACTACTAGAGATGAGATCAAAAGAAACTACCCTAACTTAATGCGGTTCAGGCATTGTTCCTTTGTTACTGTCTGCTGGTTTTCCTGGCTCTTTGGTAGCTCCAGAATCTCTCCATCCACTGCCTTCAACCATCTTGGCCAACCGCTGCTCCATGGAGTCGACAACTTGAGAGATCAGGGAGTGGAACTCAGGCCCCTGCGAGCGGACAAACTGACGGGTATCCATACCCGACGGCTCGCGCAGGCCCTCAATGCCCCTTTCTCGACACAGCAATGCCGCAATCCCAACCGTCAGGCTGCTCCTGGCTAGACTCAAGCTATGGCTGTGAGACACAGGGCCGAGGAGAGACACGAGGGCTGTCATCTGCTTAATGCTCTTCTCCAGAGAGTCAGCCGCATTGGGTGGGGGGTCCAGTATTGTGCCCAGCCTAGCGAATGAAGCTCCCATGCGCATGGCAAGGCTGTTCATGGCAGTAATGGCGGTCGCTCGGTCTGATTGTGCCTCTAGCATGGCAGCCTGGGTCTCTTTCAACATTGCATTGGTCACCTCAAGCTCATCCTCAGTGCTACACAGCTTCTTGGACAGCTCCTCCACCTGCTGCTCAAGCCCTGAGATTTGGGTCACCAAAGCAGCAGTTTGTCCACGTATTTGTAGAGGGACTTCATCATGGAGGCCGGCAGCTATAGAGGTGGCCTGCACAAGAAGGATAATTGCATGTGACTTGCTTCCTAGGATAGGCAAGCCAGAAGGATTCTTAGGAAGATCACCTGAACAAGGAATGAGGTGATTTTAGACAAACGACTCTGCAGGACTCCTGGCTCTGAGACACCTTCCATTAGCTCTTTGACTTTCTCATTGACAAAAGTTCTCGCAAGTTGTATTGCATCCTTGTCTTGAACAAGGGGAATTGACTGGAGAGGCTTGCCAGGGCCTTCACTATCCACAGTGATCACTTCATTATCCCTCAAATCTTCAACAGGCAGGTCCTGTACATCAGCTACTGCCATCTTCACCACAGAATCTCCCTCATAAAAAGGAGAATTTTCAAAACTCAGCAAGGAAACTAAATATGATTAACACAAAAGCAACAGAACCGGCAAACCTAAACATACCAGTCTTAGATAGAACCACACCCGGAGAGTACTCCCCTTTCCCATAATCATCCTGCTGAAGCGTAGCTTTCGTGCTGTCAGGGGTCAAGCAGCCAAGACCATCTGAATCTGCAGGCTCCACATATCATGAAGGTCATTTCACAAAAAAAGAATGCCCATCTGACAAAGATACAGCTTTTCAACTCAACAAGTGACAAAGGCATATTTTGACCTGAGCTGGTAACAGCAAGGTTAATCCCCATCCAACAAAGATGCAACTTTTCAACTTAGCAAGTGACACAACACAAAAGCATATTTGAACCCGAGCTTCTAACAGCAAGATTAATCGATCCGCCTCATTTATTATCCTCTCATTTCACTCAAATTTTGAAGAAAAATGATATCAGCACAGGAAAATGCTATAAATGTTAGTTACCCGATTGATAGCAATAAAAAATAATGAGCTACTGGAACAAATAATCTGTATGTGCATTGTAGATTGAGGTTGAAGCAAAAGGTCACCACTACTATAGTTTAGGTTTCCAAGCAAGGGCTCTGTACAGTAATCTGCATACATCTCTAGGCATTTCGAGCAATTTCTCAGTACTGATCTCAGTAGCTCAGGGTCCTTACCATCAGAGTCAAGGTCGCTGCCAGGGCCACAGCCGCATGAACCATGGAGGCCAGGATTACCAGACACGAAAAGAGGAGTTCCCTGCGGCACATCTCACATTTTCACACCTCAGCTCAGAGGTGGGGGCGGGGGCAAGTGGAAGCACCAGACGGTCAGAGTCCTTTGGAGTTTTGGGCAGCAGCCCCACATCCAACTTGTTGTGCGAGCACTCGTGCTTGTGCCCCAGCTGCCCTATTCGCACTAGGTTTTGGGGGCAGGGAGACGACGAGAAGGACATTTCTTTGCTTTAGTAAATTTCACTTTGAGCCACCTTTACTGACTTGTGAAACTTTGGTTAATAAAGGTGAGCAATGTGAAATTTACTGTCTTTTTTTTTTGCCTGATAGAATTGGTTCTAAACTTACAGTGTTAAATGGACCATGGACCTGACTAGAAGTAAAAACTAGCTTTTCTAGTGGTTGAAAATATTGGTAGTAGTTGAAACATACTACCTCCGTTTTTTTTAATAGATGACGCCGCTGATTTTAAGGCACATGTTTGACCATTCATCTTATTCAAAAAATTTACGTAATTACTACCTCTGATTTTTAATAGATGAGTTGACTTTTTATCACACGTTTGACCATTCGTTTTATTAAAAAAAAGTACGTAATTACTACCTCCGTTTTTACTAGATGACAACGTTGACTTTTTATCATACGTTTGACAAACTTTTGAATAAGACGAATGGTCAAACATGTGTTCAAAAATCAACAACGTCATCTATTAAAAAAGGATAGAATATAATTTATTTTGTTGTGAGTTGTTTTATCACGCAAAGTACTTTAAGCATGATTTATATCTTATAAATTTGCAAAAAACTTTTGAATAGGACGAATGGTCAAATGTGTGTTAAAAAACAACGTCATCTATTAAAAAAGGATGGAATATAATTTATTTTGTTGTGAGTTGTTTTATCATTAAAAGTACTTTAAGCATGATCTATATGTTATGCATTTGCAAATAATTTTTTAATAAGATGACTGATTGTGTCCGAAATCAATGGCGTCATCTATTAAAAACTGGAGGGGGTATAATGTACTAGCTCTCTTTTTTCCTAATCTTTCTTTTTTTTTGCAAAGTTTTTTTTTCTAATCTGAAATCTCCTTTTCTTGCTGTCTATCCAGATTAACCACGTCATACCAATAACACCACAGTATCAAAAGCGTTGCCGCTCGATCTTTATACAGCAACCATACATTAAAAAAAAAAGTGAGGAATCGGCATACATCGAAGCAAAGGGGGGAGACGGCGTGAGGGGCCTATAACCTTCCGTCTCGAGGTCGCTGCCGGGGGCGACGGGGCCGCGATCGCTCGAAGCCGAGGATTTCCTCGCCGCGGGTCTCACCACGTCACGCCTTGGCTTGGCGGTCGTCGTGGCGGCGGCGAGCGGTGCCAATGGCCGCTCGGTGCTCCTCGGCTTCTTCGGCGGCGGCGCGTCCACCTTGCCGTGCGAGCCCTCGTGCTTGCGCACCTGCCGCCCCATTCGCGCTCTAGGGTTTTGTGGCGGGGGGAAAGGCCGAGGAGGACTGGAGGAGGACACTACTCCATTTTTGTGTTCTTTTAACTTTTTTTTCGAGTTTGGGGAGACTTTGGAGACGAGGACGAGCCGGCCTGTCGGGGAAATCGAGGCAAGCCGCCGGGCCCACCTGTAAGTGATAGGAGGCTCGCTAAGGCCATCAGCAATGGGTAACCCCAGGTCTTGCCACTAGCGACGGCCGTTCGCTTTTCCGTCCGCCCTGTTCCCCCGTGATGGAGCGCGTCCCTCTGCTGGGGGTGCTAGGGGGCGCGGCTCTCTACACGTCTCGCCGGTTTTTCGTGGGGAGTCGTAGGCAGGCGACACGTTGGGGGCTTGGGGCGCTCGTGGACACGACTACCGCACCTGCGATTTCCCATTCTACCCTCGATCTCGTTGCTAGGAGGAGGGCGACGGCGGTGGGGAGGAACCCGAGGCGGCGGCGCGAGAGAGAGACGCCGACAAGAGAGACAGGAGGCGTCACCAGAGCTGCGAGAAGGGAGGCGGCGTCAAGAGAGAGAGGAGAGAGAGGCGATGGCGACGACAACCGGATCTGGCGGAGAAGCAACCGCACCGCACCGCCGCCGCCATCGCCACTGCTTGAGGCGCCCGTGCTCGCCACCGAGGAGCACGCGGACAACTTCGTGGTGGTGGTCGCTGCCGTCGGCCACCGGGCAGAGACGGGCAGCGGCGAGCGTCCGTCGCGACCTTCTCCACCTCTATCTTGGACTCCTCCGCACGGAGAGAGAGGCGAGCAGCGGCAGGAGAGAGAGGAGAAAGTGGCGGCGGCGGCGGCTGGGAAGGGCGAGGAGGGAGGTGGCACTGGTGCTCGCGAGATAGAGAGGGAGAGGGAGGGGGAGGACGACGACGGCGCCGAGCGGAGGGAGTGAAACCCGGCGAAGAAAAAAGAAGAGGAGGGGAAAGAGGCGGAGAAAAAAGAGGAGAGGGAAAGAGAGATAGGGAGAAGAGAGGGGTAGTATAGGAAAACACACACTGTGGGTTTTTTGGTTGAGACACCCATTGTGGGCTTGAGTACTTTCATCCAGTTGCCTCATGGGGAGCCCATCTAGGGTGTCCTCCATTGCGAAGGGAGTTTCCCAGAGAGTACCCTCAGTAGAGTGTCCCTGATTGTAGATGTCCTAACCGATGCTGACACATCCTATACTATGAATGTAGACTGAGGCCTTGTTTAGTTCGCGAAAAGAAAATTTTTGGGTGTCACATAGGGTGTTTGACCAGATGTCGGAATGTGTTTTTGGACAGGAATGACAAAACTAATTTCATAACTCGCCAAGAAACGTGAGATGAATTTATTAAGCTTAATTAATCCATCATTAACACATGTGGGTTACTGTAGCACTTTATGGCTAATCATGGACTAATTAGACTCAAAAGATTCGTCTCGTGATTTTCATGCAAACTGTTGAATTAGTTTTTTATTTTATCTATATTTAATGCTTCATGCATGTAACTAAAGATTTGATGTGACGTATTTGGGAAAAAAAATTGAGAACTAAACAAGGCCTGAGTACAAATATCCAAATTATTAGTACTAGGATGTGTCCTATCCACCCAATCAACCCAAAATCCCTTATATTTTGGGACGGAGGGTGCATACTTTAGGCCTGGTTTAGTTCCCCAAAATTTTTTCCCAAAAACATCATATCGAATCGTTGGACACAGGCATGGAGCATTAAATATAGATTAAAAAAACAAATTGCATAGTTAGGGGGAAATAGCGAGACGAATCTTTTGAGCCTAATTAGTTCATGATTAGCCATAAGTGCTACATTAACCCACATGTGCTAATGATGGATTAATTAAGCTCAAAAGATTCGTCTCGCGGTTTCCAAGCGAGTTATGAAATTAGTCTTTTTATTCGTGTCCGAAAACCCCTTCCAACATCCGATCAAATATACTATATAACATACCAAAAATTTTCTTTTCGCGAACTAAACAGGCTCTTAGTATTGATGGTGTCCATTCCCACATCACTCACTGACATGTCACATGTGGGCCGCATAACCTGTGCTAGTATTACATCATCTTTCAATGAATCATCTCACTGTTTCACCATTGGTTCTCCCCAAATTTTAAAATCAACTACTTGTTCAATAAATAAAATAATAGTATTATTTCAACTAAATAAGTGTTTATTAATTGATTTAATAAGATAAAAACTTAATTTGTTTTCTGTTGCAACTCATGGGCACTAGGCTAGTTAAAACAAAGCACGTGATAGTGTGTCGTTTCGTATTGGTAGATTAGTAAAAAAGATTATAAGTCTACAGTCTTGAAAAACCATACCAAAGAAAATGAAAAAAAAACAGCCACATCATACGTCTATGACCAAATCCCGCATTTCAAGATTAAGTCATGTTTGTTTCAGCTTAATATTATTGTAATCTAGATTATTAAATCAGATTACTCTAAGCTGGATTATAATAAGCTGACATAAAATAAGCTATGAGTTGTTTATTTCTCTGGATTATTAGAGGCATCCAAATGTAGTGGGTCTTTAGCCACTCAATAATCTGGAAAAAGCTCCTCTAGAGGAGATTATTGGATTATAGTAATCTGGCTTATAGATTATAATAATCTATTTGTTTGTTTCAGCTTACTCCTAATAATCCAGATTATAATAATCCTAAGCTGAATCAAACAGCGCCTAAATTAGATCGCATCCCTAAGGGATGAGAGTGTCTCTGCACACCCGCCCTAACGTGCTAGGATGTAATTTTCATCTAAAGATACCTATCGGAGAGAACAAAAAAGTTCACGCAACAATGCCCTAAGAGGAAAGTAGGGGTCGTAGGCATCGCCGTTGCCAACCGCCCAACCCAAAGGGCTAGGCTTTCACCTATAATCTTTTTGCCATCCCGTATCAAGGTCACCTACTAGAAACAGTGGCCACCACCGACAGTATACCTTCAATGCGCTTTCACCACTCCAGTGTCTCGCCGTCGACCGGCCCAAGCAAGAGCTCAACATTTGGTGCGCTCCAAATTCATCCACACAGTTGGGTTGCAGAGGAAGAGAATGAGAGAGAAGGATAGAACCTCTCGCTTGCACTAGCCCACAAACTTGGCTATCTTGTGCCGGCAAGGTGCCGCTGCAAGAGGACTAATGACTAGATCGGAGGCCGCCGCAGGCAACCGATGCTGCTTCTGTATGTTTTCTTTAGCTGCAAAAGTACGTATTCTATCAAAGGAAGCGTAAAGTGCAAGCTGAAACTAATGCACACTTCCGAAGCCCATAAACGGATTATCACAAAATAAAATAATCCATTCAGCTGAAAAGAAGTAGGCGATTGAATCGACGTCACAAAAAGACAAATTAAACTATAACAAAAAAATAATCTTGCTGGAATAAGTGAATGTTCCTACTAACTGAAATCCATGTTATAGCAGAACAACCATAACTGATACTTAACCATTAACAGGGCCAATCTTTACTTCGTGCCTCACTCTTACCATGCGTTGCCAGTGTAGAATTTCCTGAGTACAAAACCACAAATGAACGAAAATTTGAACTTGTGTTGTCAGTGTAGAATTTCCTGAATACAAAACCACAAATAAGCGAAAATATGGAGTTTGCTTAACAAATACAACTGGTTCTTTACATTACAGGTAATTTGGTGACATGTTTACAAAAAAAAAAAATTGTGCAATTACAGTGCAAGGTATATATTTAGAGACGTGCCAAGTCCTCTAAGTTACATATTAACATTTCACCAGGTTTAGCCACATCAGATGCCATGTATGTTTTCACTCTTCTACTAAGGGTAGAACTCAACGACGTAAAATAGATGAGACAAAATTGGAACTATGATACAATTGTGTTACGTATTTCAAGAGTGGTGCCGGAGCGATATTGTCCAAATCAGGTCAGAATCTGAAGTGATCGTAACAACAGTACTCTCCTCTCTCACAATGTTTGATGTGCTAATAAGTCCACCAAAGCTCATGCTGGTATTATCTGGAGATGAAATTTACAGATTTTTAGGCACCAATTATTTGTCGATGTCGAATTGATGAAGTGGGAGGCTTACCTAAATTCCATTGAAGCCCAGTGGTTGTGGTGGTGGCCGAAGGCGCGCCGATGGGAATCAATCCACAGTGGGGCCCCTCAATAGACCGTTCAATATGGATGTTATGAGTGTGTGTTCTTGGCAGCAGAAAGATCAAGCAATCATCCGATAGGAGTATGATCCTGTTGTTTGGGAAGAGATGAAGTACGTTGATGTTTCCCATCTCGTGGTCAAACCTTCCCCCAAGGGCCCCAAGAGCAAAGATACACAGCTGCAGTTAAAAGACAAATATGGCAGTAAATTTTGTGAAGATGGTGGGTAATGACACCACGTTATCGAGCTTAAGAAGTTTACATTAGATTTGTTGGGGATGGCCGAATTCTCAGTGATAAAAGCTACACATTTGTGTAAATCGGTGGTGTCCTGATCATGTGACTCATCGACTATTTGAGTACCCTGCAATTTTCACAAGAAAAACAATTGTTTCATCAGATAAGCATGAGAAAGGAATATTTTTGTTTGAAGTCCTATACCAAGATACTTCATGCCATCTGATGACCGAAGCATGAAACATATCAATATGAATATTTGCAAAAATAGATACTACCGTGGCAATGTGAGCTATATCCTATAGAAGATACCAGCAGCTGTCTATATTAGACATAAGAATGAAACTAAATGTTCTTAAGTAATCTAAGACAACTCTTAACACTGTTCTTTTGTTCCTACCAGAAAAACTATTCTGAGACAGAGAATATACCAGCTTGAATGCTCATACGGCATGTAATTACTTTATCACTTTCTGTAAAAACGCAAAATGCCATGATGTGCCCATTAAAAATAATCTGGAATATGACTTCCATTTAGTTCAGTTGTGTCAGTCATTGGTTTTAAATAAGCTGTCATAGTCATTTGGTTTTTCTTTCTCATTGCTACAATAGATACTCTGTTTGTTAGGCTTCTGACTGGTCAATACTAACCATTCTAGTGCACGCCATGGTTTGAAACTGTCTTATTTTGTTCTGATTAAAAACAAAACATGTGCCAAGAAGAAGCAGTAGCACCATAGTAGTGAGGCTCATGAAATTCCAAGAGAACATAAAAATTAACTAGCAAGAATAGTTGAAAATAATATTACTAGATAATATGGCTGAAATAATCATACTGTTTTGACTAACGAAAACTGGATGGAACATATTAAAGAAGTTTATGAATTAGAGTAATATCCTGTTATTGCTGGTTATACTTGAGTCCATATCCCAAACTAGTTACATCTGGTTTTAATTAACCGTGACTAAATGGAAAATATTGAATTACTTTACCATATTGGAATAATATTCCTTCACTTCTGGTCGAACTGAGTCCAGATCTCCTTTGATTACATCTGGTTTGTATCTGCACCAAAACACTTGTGAATTTTACATGAGAAATCTTTTTGTAAAAAAAGGCAAACCCAAAATACTTCGATATTTGTTTCCGATTATCAGCCATTAAGATCATCTGAAATATGTGACCATCTCTCAAACTCTGATTCCGCATAAGCAATTTGGAACATAAGACGGATTCTTGTTCAACCTTTGTCTGTGCGGATATAATAAACTTGAGAAAATTCGATCCATAGCACAAGAAAGAAAGCGGTACCAAAAAATAGCACAAAAAGTTTCCACTTTTGATCCATAGCATAGGTCACCGATTTTTCTTCGCCCCGTAGCACTTCCGTCACATTTTGAAGTAACGGCGTTAGATCGGAGTGGAGAAAATTTTCGTCGGACTCATTTGCCCTTCGTTCCCCATCAGGTCTCCTCTTTCGCTCCCTCATGGACGGCGGCGCGGCAGCCATCGGGCGACCGCCTCGTCTCCCCGCCGCCGCTGAGCGAGCTGCTGCGCATGCTCTTCAACGGCGTGGACGCGTAGCTCGCCGTCACCGCTGACGGAGAGGTGGACACCGACAGCTGCGCCACACCAGCCGAGCCTCGCGGGCCCCTCGAACAGCCGCCTCAGCGCCGCCGTCTGCAGCATGCCCAGCTCTGCCATGCACGTGCGGATGTGGTCGTCGCTGCCGTAGAGCGCCGGGTACTGGTCGATTTCACCCGTCCTGCCGTAGAACTCGTACACCGGCTTGTCCAGCCACAGGAACCCGCGCATCAGCGCCGGCCACCACCATGTTCTGATGTACTCCCTCCGGCTCTTCCAGAGCTCCGACGAGGCACCAATGCCGAACACAATATGGCCCAGCCCGATCGACGCGGCATCATCAGCTGGCATCGGTTTCAGCCGTGCCACCGGCAGCGACGAGGCGTTGCGCCTGTTGCCAGCATGGCCGGCGGCCGTGAGATGTGCAACGGCACCACTGCCAAGGCTCTCCTCCAGGCATGAGCTACCCGAGTAGAAAGGGGACACGGCGAGGGCAACGACGTACAGGGCGAGCACCAGGAGGAGCAAGTAGAGGAGGCTGCAGAGGAAGAAGGAAGCCTTGCACTTGGGCGCCATGCTAGGGGCAAATTAGTATTTTGAACTCCTTAGTCACGGCTAAACACTCCATCACAACTCCAAACCTGACGGAAGTGCTACGGGGCAAAGAAAAACCGGTGGCCTGTGCTATAGATCGAAAGTGAAAATTTTTTGTGCTATTTTTTGGTACCGTTGTTTTTCCTGTGCTATGATTCGAATTTTCTCAATAAACTTGGTATAAAAGCTTCTCATAGCTCAAGGATATTCATACATAATATGACAATAAATAATAAATAGGGTAATGCATCAACCACTAGTTCTGAAACCACTGCACCTCAACCAGTAAGTGGAAGTTCTAACATACTAGAATAACCACTTGCCGGTAACAGTTGTATTAGGAAAAAAGGCCTTTGGTGTACCCAATAGCCATTAAGATGGGATTAGGCTACCTATAACCCCCCAATCTCAGCACCAGCATAAGCAGTTTACCGAATAGGCCATCCGATGGGAGCCACAATTAGAAAGGCAGCTTGATCCTACGACTGAATTCTCATTTCTTAAGAGCATATTATCTCAACTAGTGCTACACCTTTATCCACACGAATATACTACCATATACCTATACTCGTGTCAAGCTCTAGCATGAGGGAAGCACAAAGAAGGCATTCCATCGAGCACATAGTGGGCATGCGAAGCGCAGCAGGGAGCAACCAATTAATGAATTAAACAGAGGCATACATCCACCGCCCACAGGAACTGCATCGCAAAGTCCCCCAAGAAGACAAAAACTAAATTATCCGTCATGCCATGTGCATAGTAACCCCCTGCGCATCTCCCATCTCCAAGAATCCAACTCCTGAACTTTTGACCACGAATACTGGCGCCTCAATGACATGAAGAGGCTGTTCGAATCGTAGTTAAAATAAAATAAACCTTACAAAATTTTAACAAGTTAGCAATATTATCAAAATTTTGGCAGAATTTCTTATGTATTTATCAAAATTTGTAACAAACTAAATGTAGGTTTTTTTATACAACTTTGCTAAAAAATAATATAAAGTAGTACGATTGAAAATGGCATCAATCTAATAAGCCCCGAACAAGATGGAGAGGATCATCGGTTGCTGAACCGAGACTCCATTTTGGCGCCGGGGGGGGGTCGCACAGATAGGCAAGAAGCTAAAATTACTGCAGTAGAGTTACTTGCGTGCCATCTCGACCAATCCAAAACGCCTCGCTGCACGGCCGCCGCCGTCGAGGAGCACGAACACGAACACGAGGAAAAAAAACACTGGAACACGCGCGCGCGGGCGCGCCGCGCACGATCCATCCAAGAAACCGAAGCGGGGCGGGAAATCCCCCCCCCCCCCCCCCCAAAAAAAATCCGGGATCAGATCGCGTTACCTGCGGCGAACCTCGTCGGGGTCCTGTCCAGGAAACAGCTCCGGCATGCCGTCGAACACCCGGTTGGCGCCGCCGTCCGCGCACACCCGCACCTGCGCTGCAGAGAGAGAGAGAGAGAACGAGAACGGAGGCAGGCGCCCACGTCAGTCAGTCAGCATCGAGAAGAAGAGAACAGAAGAGAGAAGAGCCACGCGCGAAGCCCGGCGAGCGAGGGCATTCTACTACCGCGGTCCCAGAGGCGGGGCGCGAAGCGGGGCAGGCGCTGGTTGAGGACGAGGAGCGCGTAGGCGGCGCCGTCGGCGTCGGCGCCCGCCGCCGCCGCGGACGGCGAGGGCAGCAGGAAGGCGGAGGAGTGGGACATGGCCGGCCTCGGGGCCATGGCGGCGGCGGCGGCGGCGCGGCGACGGCGAGGGCTGGAAGTGGGTGGCTTCGCGCCGATCGGGGTCGGGGAGGGTGCGACTTGCGAGTCGTGGGCTCGTCGCGGTCGTGCGAGCTGGCGTGTTGAATGGGCAGCGCGTGTTTGAAAATTTGGGGTTTTTGGTCAGAGGTGATGGGATGATGGGATTGTCGTACCGCTACCGGAGACTTCCGGAGTCCCCACTTGTAGTACCCACTGGTGTGTGGGGTCCACTGCATTTAACATGTGCAGGTCAGCTGCAGATTGTCACGTGTGTCTCATTTAATGTAATGGAAAAATTGCAAATCCACCTTATAAGTCTCTCATATTACATTCCATAATTCATCTTGTTGTAAGGGCCTGTTTAGAAGGAGGCCCTCGTAGCTTTCCAGTTCCGGCCATCCATCCCCGCCGGAGGTGAGGTTGAGGGCGGCCATGCATATTCTGAAAGCATTGTCGCTGCTGGATCCAGTGAAGTGGTACGGGGAGTCGGTGAAGGGGTCGAACTCGTCGACGGAGGCGTGTGAATCGGACTACGACATGAAGTCCCTCATGCCGGCACCGGCGCCGTATCTGTCCCCGTCCATCTCCGCCGATGCGGGCATGAGCGGCTGCGGCGGTCGATATCGGCGAAGGTGGAGGCAGAAGAGGGCATGAGCGGCGGTGTCGAGGATGAGGTGGATATGAGCGGCGGAGGAGGCGGGCGTTAGTGGCTACGGCGGGCGAGATTAGAGGCACGGGTGAGCTAGGTTGGAATGGGGAATGGAACGAGCGGGTGAGGAATGGAGAGAGAAAGGGGTTGGGTGGGGAATGGTCGGATGGAGAGAGAGAGAGCGAGCGTGGGCATCATAGGTAGTGCGCGTACCGCACAGCTCCCAATGATTTTTCCAAAATTTGCTGCTCTAGAGTCCCAAATGATAGATGTCAAATTGCTAACTTTTGCTACTAATGTTTAGATCCATTTTGACAAAAAAAATGCTCCAAAACAATAAAACTTTTGCCATTTTAGAGGAACTAAACATGGCCTAAATACTCACCCACCTATTTAGTTTTTTTTTTCTAAAAAATACCACCACATTGTGCCCGCACTTAACCTAATCAATATGTTTTTTTTTATAAAATGTGAGCCATCAATGTGGTTTTCACCAAAATTAAATACTTCCGGAGTATAGTCTTGAAGCTTTGTTGAGGATTCTACAAATAGAATTGTTGGTGAGAGCTTAAACATTATCGCACTGAGTTTTACTATATGCAAAAGAAAAAATTCAAGCAAACATGAAAAGTATTTTGCAAGTACTTAGACAAGATTGACTCAGCTAACTTAACATGCGGTGACTCTACATCAGTGATAACGTGCTGATTCGGTTAAGCACATACGAAGTGGGGTGGTTTTTCAATAAAACTAAGTATGGTAGGATATTTGGAACAAAATAACTTATGGATTGGAATGTCGAAATTCAAACGACTTATGTGAAGGTTTTGCAATTTTCCCTTTAATTTTGGAAAATGGAAATTTACAGGGAAAAAAAACCACAAGTCAATAGAAGTTTTAAATTTTATCCCATAAGTCATTTTGTTGTAAATGCTCACCTCTATTTATTCATGTTGCAAAAACCATCCAGTCTGCACGTGCTTAACAAAATTAATATATTTTCATAAATCGTGAACCATCAATTTGGTATTTACCAAAATTAAATACTTCTAGAGTATAGTTTTGAGAACTTTGTTTTAGGTTCCAGAAATAAAATTGCTTATGAGAGCTTAAACGTTGTTGCACTGATATGCACAAATAAATTCAATGAAACATGAAGAATAATTTTAATGCAAACACTTCGACGAGATTGACTCAGCTAGGTTAGCCTGTGATGGCTCTACATCAGTGATAAGGGAATGATTTGGTTAATCACGTGGATCCTGGGACACTTTTCACATACTTGCAACAAATTAAATAACTTATGAGATGAATGTCAAACTTCAAATGACTTATGATGTGGTTTTACATTTATCCCTTACCAAAATTTAGACACAGTTTGGTTTTGATTACTGAATGGATTATTATCGCATATTATTTACTTATTTTACTAAGACTGAGTTTAAAAGTGAGTTTATATATACATTTCTCAACAGCTAAACGATACAAATTTTACAAATAGTTTTTGTATAAGTTTCTTTAAGAAAATTAAACAAACTCATTTCCGAAGTTTGTCCCTAGTACTTAACTAATTATGAGCAATGACTCAATTGTTTTGTGTGGAACTGAAATCTACGCCACACTTCAACTTCAAACTTACATAAGTAATCATGTATATGTAATGTACTTTTTTAACATTACATATGGATCATCTTAACATTTTGCAGCAGAAATTGTGTATGCAAGGCGGTTCCTTTTCATCCAATAATAAAATAAAGAAATTCAAGCTTTATTTTTATTTCCAGTAAGACTAAAATTGGAGAAAAAAAGACAACATATTATGGCGTACGACCAGAGTACAATAATGCACATGGAATAATTCCAGGTACAACCAAAGCAAACCAGTACACACGGAATTATGATGAAGCAAAGAAATAAAGAAGAAATATACAAGCTTATAGTTGAGTCAAATATATAATCATAAATATGCAATTCTTCCATATAGTTCCAACCAGAAGTACATTGTTATATGTGTCCCTTAATCCCCTTTTATGACTTTTTCCTATAGAATCCACAATGATGTATGACATTAATGCGATATATATGTCTAAAGAAGGGGGGCCTTTTAAGATCATGTGCCACTAAACATGGATACACCCTCAAGCACATAAGGAACCCAGCATGCATATGGATAGGACTACCAAGTTCGAACCGGAGATGACCAAGACTGCTCAGATGTTTCCTACCATGATATCCAGACATAAGCCTACATCAGCCTCATCAAGTTGATATCTTGAGTAACCCCACAATCCTCCATGGACCGCATCACAAAATTCCCATCTCTCCTGATTAGGTGAATATGCAATATTAGAGTTCCAATTCACATACTTGTACTCGGTGTGATCTCCAAGGCAATACCTACAAGGAGTCAACGGTATTATGATGGGTTTAGCGGTGTTGGACTTGAAGTTGTAATAAATGAAGGATAAAGTTAGAGTCGAACTTTGTCATACGCTTTATCTTAAATAGAGAGGGGGGCACCACATTGTACAATGGTGACTGCAATGTAGCGTAGACAAGCAAGGAAATGATGGTGGCGAGGCCATGAACTCGTAGCGGCTAGGTGATATATTGATTAGGGAGAAGTGCCCATGAAAAGAGTCTCAAAGATGTAGGTTTCGACTGAACTTCGTTAACAAATATTGTGTGTTCCTGTGTCGTCATCTGGCGTATCTTGGGTGATCAATAACCGAGGAGATCGAGAAGGTTAGTCACTATTTCGCTATATCGACTAACTTTTATAATAAGTGGTATTAGAGCCGAAAGTTTCAGAATTGTGGAAGAGGAAACACGAGGTGAGATCATGCATTGATAAGAGATCATCAACCGTGGCGATGAGATCGATTGCGACAACGAGAACGTTGTGGAGGCAACGACCTCCCTTGCGATTAGACCGGCGATGGTGGAACGTGGCCGAAAGATGGGGTCGGGTGTGGCTAAAAGCAACCAGAGAGATCGGATGGGTAGCGCCATGGACGACGTGCCCAACACACACGGTGGTCGTAGATCCGTAGCAGCAGGGAGGCTATAGCAGAAGGGCGAAGCCGGCGAGCGTGGTGAGGCACAGTGGACTTGCAGGGCCTGAGGACGACGTGATCGTGGATGGTGAACACAAGCGTTATGACTGCAGTGAGTGCGGAAACACAAACAACACATATGGAGAATGTGCTATACACACGCAGGATGAGCAAGGCACAAAATGGCAGTTGACAACAAACAACGTCGTGTAGCACAAGCAGAAGGCAGACCATATGAGATCGAAATCGGGGCAATGTTGGACTCATGAGCATGAACGCAAGTCCGAGGTGGACTTGTCCATGCAGTGGCCGGGCTCGAGTTGGAAGTTGTTTTCAGACTCACAAGGCAACAACTATTCTGAAGGATGAGCAAAGAGTGCACGAGAATGGTCTAGACTTGTTGACGCAAGGGTCAAGGAGGATGTGGATGCGTTTGAGAGCATCACAAAGAGAAGAAAATAATCTCTTTTTTTTCAGGTATATTTTCCAAACTGTTAAACAGAAGGAGCATTAACTGCATGCACATGTGCAAGTGCATGGTGTTGTGTAGTGGTGCATGCATATGAGGCTTGGCAAAACTACGACGTTGGTTCACGAGTAGGACTAGCACAGCTAGTTGAGTTGGATTAAAGTCAATATGAGCAGTGGACTAATAAGTATTTGGTGGCATGGACTTGGGTGCACTTGGCGACTCGATCGTGTGGAAGATGCAGCATGGTAAAGGAGAGGTTCCGCGAATTGAGCCGTCTTGCAGCGTAGAGGCAGATGGTGGCATATGGTGTAGGCAAGGCAGTTGCTTGAATTGGACTCAGGGCATAGCCAGGATGCATAGGTACTCGGACATGGCTAGGTGGATACTCGATCGGTTGATAGCTTGATGGAAATGATATATGCCTAAACATTGAAATCATTCGTTGTTTGTTATTACAGTGTACACTACTACAGAATGGCATATTGGTGTCGGTTGGGAACCGGTCTTAGCTGCCGGATTTCCCAACCGGCACCCTATAGGCGGCATAGATGTGGGGGAATCAAAGGGGCACCTTTGAGGTTCCAGGATTGGAAAAAAGGTCGGCTCGAATGCATCGAGCCGATTCGAGCCGACACTGATTCCATCAAGAACACACATGAACAAAACTTTCAACCAAGAACACACACGAACACACATGAACCTCCGCTACCTCCATGCCATGCACCGCGCGCGCGCGCGCGCACACACACAGAGAGAGATAGATAGATAGAGAGAAAGAGGTGGCGCCGTCGCCCCTTCAATCTCCGCCGGGCAACAGCTGCCTCCATGTCGCCAGATCTAGCGGAGGCGAGGCCCGGCCGGCCGCCTCCACGCCGTCCGGGCCGCCGCCCCCTCCCGCCCCCGCTGAGCCGTAGCCGCCTCCACGCTGCTAGATCTGGCAGAGGCGAGGTCCGGCCCGCCGCCTCCATGTCGTCCGCCGCCGCTGGACCTCCTCTCTCGTCCGAACTGGCGGAGGGGAGGTTCGGGCCACCGCCTCCACACCGTCCGCCGCCGCCGCCACCGCACCTCCCCTCCCACCACCACCGGAGAGAGAGAGAGAGGAGAGGAGAAGCCAATAGAAGGGGAGAAGTGGATAGAGAGAGAGAGGAGAGGAGAAGCCAAGAGAAGAGAGGAGGGGAGAAGCCGAGCTCGGCCTTATCTCCTGCAGGTGTGGGTGTGGGCCCCACCGGGAGGAAAAATATCTCCCTTGGCTGGCTCGGCTCGATTTTATCGGTGGCACCTATAATATATGGTAGGTGCCGTTTTTTTTAAAAACGACACCTATAATATATTATAGGTGTCATTTTTTTTTAAAAAAAAGCGTCACCTATTATAGATGCCGGTTTTTCTCTAAAACCGACACCTATCTCCGTTTAAAGGTGTCGGTTTTAATTTTTTTTTTTCATCTTATGAAGGTGGGAAAAGCACTATAGGTGTCGGTTTTACCACTTCCGGCACATATAGTGCCGACATCTATTTGATGTTTTGTAGTAGTGATGTATTAGTGATTTCCTTTCGTAGATTTCTAAAATCGAGATCTTTGATATCACCAAACAAATTCTTTTTATTTGGTTTTCATCTGGAATTCTTGTTTACTCCCTTCTTTTTTAATTATAATTCAAGCCTTTTTTACTCAAGGATTAAGAATGGTGTGAAACTAAGAGAAAAGGAAAGAAAAATGACCATGGCATCGCTATATATTTAAATAAATCATTTCTAAATATAGCTAAGAGATTATGCTCCACATTAAAGTAGATCAGCATAAGTTCTAAATATAGCTACTACATTTATCCCAAAATTTAGTAATATTTAGTTATATATCTAGTCATAGCTATGTATTTGGACTTATGTATGTCTAGATACATACCCTAAAGTTATTATAGTTCAGGACAGAGAGAGTAAGAGATTATGCTCCACATTAAAGTATATCACATTTTCCGAAAGACCAGGAAACAAGGGCAGCTAAGATAAGAAGGTAATAAGAATAGCTTATCTAGACAGTATATGTAGTAAAAGCATACATTGATGTATTGCCTAAACATATTTTGAGGATACAAATCAATGCAAAAGATTAGGATATCATAACAATCCTTTGAGATCTCTATATATATCAGTTTGCGTGAGCACTTCTTGCTTACAACGAAACATAGGAAGATACATACAAAGTAGAAGAAAAATGGCATCGATGTCCTACTTCATCGTTGCTATGCTCATATCCAATTGCTTGGGTTTCATTGCAACACCAATTGCTCAAGTTGTAGGTAGCAGTTCCTCCTCGGGTGTTGGTGGTCGAAAAGTTTTATCTGCGGGAGGTTTGCACCAAATCTACCACCATGGAGGTACTGTTCCAGGTTCGAGTGACCCCCTAGGTCCTCCAAGTGATGAGATATATCATCATGGTGGTACCGTCCCAGGTCCGAGTGACCCCTTAGGTCCTCCGAGTGATGAGATATATCGCCATGGTGGTGGCCACCATACTACCCCGGGCCCGAGTGACCCCATAGGTCATCCTCCGAGTGATGAGATATATGGTCATGGTGGTGGCCACCACACTGCACCGGGCCCGAGTGACCCCATAGATCCTCCTCCAAGTGATGAGATATATAACCGTGGTGGTCATCACACTGCTCCGGGCCCGAGTGACCCCATAGATCCCATAGGCCCTCCTCCAAGTGATGAGATATATAACCATGGTGGTCATCACACTGCTCCGGGCCCGAGTAACCCCATAGATCCCATAGGCCCTCCTCCAAGTGATGAGATATATAACCGTGGTGGTCATCACACTGCTCCGGGCCCAAGTAACCCCATAGATCCCATAGGCCCTCCTCCAAGTGATGAGATATATAACCGTGGTGGTCATCACACTACTCCGGGCCCGAGTGACCCCATAGATCCTATAGGCCCTCCTCCAAATGATGAGATATATAACCGTGGTGGTCATCACACTGCTCCGGGCCCGAGTAACCCCATAGATCCCATAGGCCCTCCTCCAAGTGATATATAACCGTGGTGGTCATCATACTGCTCCAGGCCCAAGTGACCCCATAGGTCCTCCTCCAAGTGGTGTAATATCATAGTACCTGATTAGACATTCCTCATATATTAGAGATGTACAACACTGTTTTTCAGATTCGGACTATTGTAACCGTGCATCTCCAACTCATGCCGAAATAATAAAGCATATCTTCGTTTTCAATTTTCTCTTGATGTTCTACTGTTTCCTCCCTATAAGAGTGACTACTTGTATATTCTACTTGGTTCCTGCTTTATACACATGATATATATTTTCTTCTTCGATGTATTATCTATTGTATTTCAGATATGCTAATATCAAAGTGAAAGCATTAATATATTATTTTTATTTATATTTTAGCATAAAGCCAATATCAGTGTCAACACAACAGCTGACTTCATTCGCATAGTATTTCTTATGATATTAGTTGGGGTAACACCTTTATGATCAAATTGTCTTGTACTCACGGTGCAAACGAATCTTTTTTGATAATGGAATAAATATCGAAATTGCTAAACTTCAGTCGACAGAAAACCTACCTCCAAATCTTGCAAATTTTGGTTCACTGGATGTGCTTCGCGATTCGTGCTTCAGCTGCTTCTTCTCTAACTCCGATGAACTCCTCTTCTCCGACACCGGCGACAACCCGAACTCCGGCGAAGGGCCGAAGAATTAGGGTCCCGGAGTGGGGTGGGGTGGGAAGGGTGGGAGGGGGAGAGGAATAAAAGGGGAGTGCGTCGGGCTTAGAGGGATGGCTGGGGGAGGCGGCAGCCCGGTGGTGGGCGGCGGCGAGGCGCCGGCGGCGGCGCCGGAGTCGCGGGGTTGAAGGACGGTGGTGGGCCGGCGTTGGTGGCGGGGGCATCTCCCCATCGACGGCTCGAGGAGGAAGGAGGGGGGAGGGGGAGGAGGCTAGCAGCTAGGGGGGCCTCGCCGACGCTGTTGACGCCCTCCGGCCAGCCGGCGAGGCGGGTGGCGGCAGGGGATCGGGCGGTGGCGACGTGCGAGGGTAGCGGCGGCGGCGGAATGCGCAAAGAGGTGGGGAATGGGAGAAAAAAAGTTAGGGTTAAAGCTGTGTACGAATCCTAAAACATATCTAACGGTCCAAAATTTAAAAGATGAGAGGTGGGATTGTCTGTCATGTATAGACAGTCCCAATAAATATTCCAGTATCTCGGGACTAGATTGGTGGTCTGGAGATTTTCATAGAAAAATACCTGGCACTGAGATCGTAGCAGGGTAGTATTGTTTCTCGAGCTCCAGCAGTAGGTTGTTTTTTCTTTTCATATGTACAATATGCTCTGTAGCAGGCTATTATTTATTTTTCCAACATTAATCGGTGTTATTTGTCCTAAATCTCTCCCACTAGTTTAATTTTGTTTCGCAAGAATTCGCAACATCCGTTGTGAAAATATCAAAAGAACGAGGCTTTGCCCATGGATAAGATTATATCAGATTTTTCCTCCCAAAGACATCTGTTCACAATCAAGTTCTGCTTATCTCTGTATTTCTCCCGATTAACCAAGTCATGTTCTATATGTGCTCTGGAGGCCGGAGCTATTGTTAAAATGATTCTCGACTCCCTCGCTTTATGGATTGTCTATTTCAGTCAGTCCTTAAATAAAATTCAGTTCACATGTTCAATCCGTCTTGAATATATTGTGTTAGCATGCCGAAATGTAGATGATGATTTTCGCTAAGAGACTTCTGGATGGGAGCAAATCCCTCACGCATGGAAAACAGGGCGATCTATTAACACGTAATTAAGTAAGTATGAGCAAATTATTTTTTAAAAAATAGATCAATATGATTTTTTTTAATAACTTTCGTATAGATACTTTTTGCATAAAACACACCGTTTAGTGGTTTGAAAAGCGTGCGCACGGAATATGAGGGGAGAAGTTGGGAACCTGTACGTGTTGCCGAACACACCCTTAATGATGAGTTGATCATATGGGTCCGTGAAAATTACATCATACAGTTCTCAGGTTTGTTACTCAGAGTTTCTGCAGATGTTCCGTTTGGAGCCTGCTGGACAGAGCTTCCTGGTGCAGATTATGTTTTGTTTGAATTTGGTCAATAAGAGTTATAATTTGAAATTTTGGATTGACCAGTGTTTTCAATGCAAATCCGGTTCGATTTGAGAATTAGGATACATCAAATTGTTATATATGTTTTCCTTTTCTTCCCCTTTCTGTTCTGAAAACAAAGGGAAATTGCAAGACTGCCAGTATCGGAATGACTGAGGCTTTGCTTTGCTTTTCAGGGCTACATGTGCCGAATAGCTTGTTAGGATTGGCAGTAACCAAACAACTAATCGGGTCATAAACACAAACCATTGTCGGTTATACGCCCTCATATGTTCAGAAAATCTTCATAACATTGATTGAATTGCAAATGTGCAGAAGCTAGACTAAACTCTTCCACTATCTTAAAAATATATGAAATGCAAGTAAGTAGTAAATATCACTACTCCCTTCATCTATTTTTAATAGTTATGTTTTCAAATCTGAAAAATTTATTTGTGATAGTCATATTTCAATTCAACAACGGAACAACATATCATTTTAATGACTTTCTCGGATTTAATGCATGACTCTCCATTCTTACACACAAGTAATGAATCGCTTGTTTACGAGGAATGACTAGCAGCATGTTTAAATGGATGATAAGTAGAACGGAATTGCTTATCATTGGTCTGTGCGTCAAGATGAAATATTACTATCAAAAATAGATGGAGGGAGGGTTATTATCTGCCTATAATTTTCTACAGAAAAAAAACAACAAAAATAAATTCTAGCTAGCCGGCGGCCTAAAGCTCATCGTGATCGTCGTCGCCGCCGCCGTCGCCATCTCGCCGTGAGCCGCCGGACCTCTGGTACACCGCCGACATGACCGGGTTGCACACGTCCTCCAGCTCCCGGAGCTTCTCCTCGTACTCCTCCTTGCCGACGTCCTGGTTGCCGTCGAGCCACTCGTACGCCTCCATCACCGCCGCCTCCACCTTCTCCTTCTCGCCGCCGTCCATGGCGCCCGCCATCTCGCCGCCCACCACGGCGTTCTTGACGCCGTAGACGTAGGCTTCCAGGCTGTTCCGGGCGCCGGCGCGCTCCCTGTGGCGGCGGTCCTCGTCGGCGAACTCCTCCGCCTCGCCCAGCATCCGGTCGATCTCCTCCCGGCTGGTCTTGCGGTCGTCGCCGGAGATGGTGATCCTCTCCGACCTGCCGGTGGCCCTGTCGGCGGCGCTCACGCTGAGGATGCCGTCCGCGTCCACCTCGAACGCCACCTCGATCTGCGGCGCGCCGCGCGGCGCCGGCGCGATGCCGGCGAGGTCGAACCTGCCGAGCAGCCGGTTGTCCCGCGTCATGCTCCGCTCGCCCTCGAACACCTTGACGGTCACCGTCGTCTGCTTGTCCTTGTAGGTGGAGAACAGCTGCGCCCTCTTCGTCGGCACCGGCGTGTTGCGCGGGATCAGGGTGGCCATGACGCCGCCGGCGGTCTCGAGGCCGAGGGTGAGCGGCGTGACGTCGAGGACGACCATGTCGCGGGTTTTGTTGTCGGTGTCGCCGCCGACGATGTTGGCCTGGATGGCGGCGCCGTAGGCCACGGCCTCGTCGGGGTTGACGCCCTGGTTGGGCTGCTTGCCGCCGAAGTAGTCCCTGAGCAGCTGCCTCACCTTGGGGATCCTCGTGCTGCCGCCGACGAGGACGATCTCGTCGATGTCGGCATTGCTCAGCCTGGCGTCCGCCATGGCCTTCCTCACCGGCGCCATCGTCTTCCGGAACAGGTCGTTGTTGAGCTCCTCGAACCGCGCCCTGGACAGCGGCTCCGACAGGTCGACGCCGTCGAACAGAGACTCCACCTCGACGCGCACCTGGTGCTGGATGCTGAGCGCGCGCTTGGCGCGCTCGCACTCGCGGCGGAGCTTGCCGAGCGCGCGCGCGTCGCCGGCGATGTCGCGGCCGTGCTTGCGCCTGACGAGCTCCACGAAGTGCTCCATGACGCGCTGGTCGAAGTCCTCGCCGCCGAGGTGGGTGTCGCCGTTGGTGGCGAGGACCTCGTACACGCCGCCGTCGATGGCGAGGACGCTGACGTCGAACGTGCCGCCGCCGAGGTCGAAGACGAGGACGTTCTTCCCGCCGGCGCCCTCCTTGCCGACGCCATAGGCGAGCGCGGCGGCGGTGGGCTCGTTGAGGATGCGCTCGACGGCGAGGCCGGCGATGGTGGCGGCGTCCTTGGTGGCCTGCCGCTGCGCGTCGTTGAAGTAGGCCGGCACGGTGACGACGGCGCGGGTGACCTCCTCCCCGAGGTAGGCCTCCGCCGTCTCCTTCATCCTGGCGAGCACCATGGCGCTCACCTCCTCGGGGCTGAGCAGCCGCACGTCGCCGCCCCTCACCTCGACGCGGACGTGCGGCTTGCCGCCCTTGTCGACGACAGCGAACGGCAGCAGCCTCATGTCGCGCTGCACCTCGGCGTCGGCGAACCGGCGGCCGATGAGGCGCTTGGCGTCGTACACCGTCCGCCCCGGGTTCGCCGCCGCCTGGTTCTTGGCGGCCTCGCCGATGAGCCGCTCGCCGCCGCCGGTGAAGGCGACCCACGAGGGTGTGATCCGGTTCCCCTGGTCGTTGGCGATGATCTCGACGTGGCCATTCCGGTAGACACCAACGCACGAGTAGGTGGTGCCGAGGTCGATCCCGATCACGGTGCCGCCGCCGCCGCCGGCGGCCGCGGTGGAGCCCGCCGGCAACGTGAGGAGGAGGAGCACGGCGAGGAAGAGGCCGTGCAGGTGCAGCCGCCGCGTCCACGTTGCGCCGCGCGCCATGGCTGTGTGTGAGAGACGAGACGCGGGGGGGGCGGCTCAATATATAGCTTTGGGTGTGGCCGCGCCGGCGCGGCGCCGCGCGTGCGTGTAGCGTCCAATGGGAGGCTCTGCGGCGGGGCGTACGCGTCAGCGGCGTGATCTGAGCCGTCCGTTGTTCCGATCGGGCGGTGAGGTGTAGGGGAAGCGTCGTGTTAACACGTGGCCTTTGGGCGTCGTTCCGGACATGGAAGGGGCGCGCGTGGCGCGCGGAAATTTCATGTTGGTTTTCCATCTCGGTGTTTGGATCCGGCCTGGCCCATACAGACGGTTCGACACACCGGAAATTACATGTTGGGCTTGATTTGCTGGATCCAGACATCCTGCCGGGCCCGTAAATAAATGGATGAACGGCTATGGAACGTCGATGAACGGCTATGGGCCAGTTCAGCTCAGCTGCCACAAAACTAAGGCCCAATTATCTAGTCAACTTCTTTGGGAAAAAATCCACTTTGACACCCTCATTATACCTCGGATCTGATTTGTATCCCTTAAACACAAAACCGGTTATAATAACTTCTCCAACTGTTAACACCATTACAAAATGACTCCTAGGATAATATTGAAGTTGGTATTAGCTGACGTGGCTATCCAATCATAAAAAAAATTAAAAAGAACAGTGGGACCCACATGTAAGTGCTAAGGGAAAAAAGCCAGAAGAAAAAGTCGCTTCCTCCTCGCCGAGGTCGTCCGCGCGTTCCTCTCCGGCAATTGGGACGCCTCCTTCACAACACCGTCCCCTCCGCGCAAGCCGCTGCCTGCAATAGGCGGTGGTCCCATCCCGCGCTCCATAGTGCTTGTACTTCGTGGCGTTGTCCGGTGTGGAGCTCCATGCCCTCGCGTGGTCTACGGCCTAGGGCTGGGCGGTGGTGGGGTCGCCAGTAAAGCCGTGGAGCAATTCACAATCGAATTGTGAGGCAGAGGTGGTCCTCTGTTGCGACTCTCCCCCTCCCCCCTCCTCCCTAATCCTCCTATCTTCTACCCGAAGCAATCAAAGTAGGCCCATCTCCTCAATTCCTCATGCAAACCACCGCTAAGCCTACCATCTTGATCTACCGTTACGAGCCGTCTCATGCCATCCCACTGTGACACCGGCTTTGCGCTACTTTGGTGAGGATTCCCTCACAATCTTCTGTTGTCTTTCATCGTCATTAATGTCGCCATGAGCCCATGGCTGCTCCTCTACTCTAGATCCACTCCACAGCCACTAGCCTCACCCACACCTCCTCAACATCTCCAACATAGAAAGCGAGTTCCTTGTCACAGGGGACGCGTGATGACACCCTTGGAAGGCCGAGATCCATATCTGAGCTTGTTGGCATCTCTTCTCTCTCCACCGAACCGAGCCCTTGACTGCCGTGCTTATGCTATCTTCCTCGCTGGAAACCTCCACCTTTGGATGAGCCGAGTCGTAGGACACACTCAATCGCTCTTGTTCCATCGTCGGAGCACCAACACTTGAGCCCCATCTCCTCTAACCTCCCAAGGCTCCTCCACTGAGAGAATCGTGATACTGAGAGTGTGAATAGGAGGCGGAAGAGGGAGGAGGAAGAAGACATGTGGGCCTGTGTCTATTTTTTTTTATTTTTGTGATGATTGGGATGTCACATGTTAGCGAAAACTGCCTTTAAAACAGCCGAGCGAGTCTATTTACACGGTTTTAATGGTTGAAGGAGTCATAATAACTGGTTTTAAGGTTGAGGGATATGAATCAAATCCGACCTATATTATGAAGGAGTTAAAGTGGACTTTACCTATATTATAAAGGAGTTAAAAGTGGACTTTTTCACTTCTTTTCTGATGATTAATTCATTGGATCGGTTACTTGAGGACTTTTGGAGTCAATTTCCTTGCAAGCTACTCTTTACGTCGTTAAAAATAACTTCTAGAGAAAAATTTGAACTTGTACTCGTCGAAGTTGATTTTTTTTTTTGATGAGAATGGTGTATACTTGTTTGAAAACTGCATGTTTCATCGAACGGAGTAGCTCGATCACCGTAGGTCGATTTTGCTTAAGGTTTTGAATATTTGGACAACCTGCGCGTGGATTTTTGTGAAGCTATTTCTGCGTGTTTTTACATGCATGGACCACCTGAATAAAACTTAAGGTTTTACGACCCAAGTTAACTTGAATTTTGGAGTCCATAGAACACCTACATTTGTGTACACAGTAACACAGATGCTCCAATCGAAAGCTGAAAGATTATGGAACCCACCACCTAGGTTAGTGCAAGCATCAGATGCCCAGCCCGACCACTTAACCGCAACGTCATCTACCAGAATCTTTCAACTCGAAAGAAATTCGACCTGATCCTAAACTCACTCAGTGAAATTTCAGATGTCACCGCTGCTGATCAATTCATCCTGGACATCCTTTGACATATTAGAGGAAAAAAGCAACACGATATATTTACAAATATAAAATAGTTTATAAATAAAACTTTTATATACGTGCTCTTAACGATATAAAATCAAAGACTAAAAATAAACTATGCTGAAAAAAAATTCCAAATCAACTCCAAATATAAGATTATTGAAAATTCAAATGTTTTTCATCGTTGCCGTTTTCGAAGAGTGACATAGGCGGGGTGGGTGCGTTCGTGCAGACAGCTCGATCGATCGAGCGGTGATCGGATCCAAACAACGCCGCTCCATCGATCCCCTCGACGCGCGCAAACTCCACGCACCGCCACCGCCCGTGCGGCGCGCACACGTCACTCTACCTAGCTTACACCTACCCACATCAACCTTACACACAGCTCGATCCACACTGACACACAGAGCGCGCCGCGCGCGACAGCAAGGCGAGAGCATGGCCGAGCACCACCTCCCGCCGGAGCCAGCCGACGAGCCCCACCACCACAACCATGGCGGGAAGGCGGCCGTCCACGCCGACGACCTCAAGCCCGGAGGCCGCCGCCGCCGGTACGGATACTACTATGGCGACGGGTACGGCTCTGCCGACCCCGCCCGCACGCTCTGCTTCGTCGTCCTCGTCGTCATCCTCCTCGCCGGCATCACCGCGCTCGTGCTCTACCTCGTCTACCGCCCCTCCCGCCCGGCCTTCGCCGTCACCTCCGTCGCCGTCTACTCCCTCAGCCTCAACGGCACCGGCACCGGCACCGGCGCCGTCGCCGGCGGGCCGGCCACGCTGGCCGCGTCGTTCCAGCTCACCCTCGTCATCCGCAACCCGAACGAGCGGTCGGCGGCGCGGTACGACCGGCTGGCGGCGTACGTGGCGTACCGCGGGGAGCCCATCACGGCGCCCGCCCCGATGCCGCCGCTGGTGCAGGACGCGGACAGCGCGGTGGCGGTGGCGCCCGTGCTCGGCGCCGGCGCCGCGGCGCCGCCCGTCCCGGTGTCCCCCGACACCGCGGCGGCGCTCGCCACGGACGTGTCGTACGGCGTGGTGGCGCTCAGGGTGGTGGTGCTCGGCCGCGTCCGGTTCGTGTCCGGCCCGTTCCGGAGCGGGTGGCACTCCATGTACGCCCGCTGCGACCTCCTCGTCGGCGTCCGCAAGAGCGGCGGCGGCGGCGCGGGTGGCGGTCCGGAGGCGCCGCTGCTCGGCAACCCTACCTGCGCCGTCGACATGTGATGCCAGGCAGCTGGATAGCTTCGTCACACCTCGCCTGTGTACGCGTAGAAAATTTACCTATACAGCTAGACGACGACGTACGTGTATCTGTGGGTGACCACGTGTCCGTATGTATACGTATATTGGCAAGCATACGTGTCTCCGCTTCTGGATACCTTTGCAAAATATACGTGTAAAATATCGAAAAATAATGATACCATATCACATATGCTAATGTTCGACAGAATTTTCATCAGGATCGATGCAGAATTTATGCTAAGCTGCTTTGCTGTGTGATGAGATTTATAATTTTAATTGGAGTTATGCGAAATCCATTTGGAACATGACATTGAATTTCAGCGGCTAACTTCTGCAGCAATGGCCGGTAAAACACTAAAACTGACGTAGAAATGGTGATGGGAACTGCACAAGTACTGGGCAACCCCGTTTCAGGGTTGAAGCCCAGTAGGAACAGCGGCAACCGGGGATGGGCCGAGCAACGGAGCAAGCGAAGGACGCACGACCTCTGGACTGGATTTGGCCCAAAACAAGACGCATGCTCAACACACCACAAACCAAACAATTCTTCGAAGATTTGGGCCAAATTTTACTACCCAAGTTTTAATCTGGACAACCGTAAAACTAATATTTTCAGTATGAACCGAAACACTTTGTCATGGTTGCGGTTTGGACCATTCCAAACATCTTCAATACACATCGACAGCATCAATCAAATCGGTTTGGGAATACCGGTGAACTTTTCCATCTATTGATCTATACGCAGGCCATATCTTTGTGAATAGAGGCTAGACATGGATATAAAGAGAGTTGGGCGATCGAAATCATGATAAAATTAATTGAAAGTGAAATGATTGGTTTAAAAGTAATCAAAGGTAAAACTTTAGCAATAAAAGATGGCTCAAACCGCAATTTTTCTATTGTTTAATAACTAGTCAAATGCACATACTTTGTTGTGTCATGGGTAAAAGAAAATATATAATACTATGTCATAGATAAAATATTTTCCTATCAAATATGGTAGTATTATTCGTCTGTTTATTTGAACATATGGTACTTGATTCAAATAAATATTACACTATTATAAAATATTAGAAAGTATCATAAATAAATTTATAAAAGTTACAAAAGTAATGGTGGTGGCTGACTATTAATGTTTGTGTAGAAAACATGAGGCATATCTCTCTCTACCCTCAAAGTTATTGTTTTGATGTTCAAATTAGTTTGGTACTCCCTCCGTACTCATAAAGGAAGTCGTTTAGGACAATGTTTAAGTCAAATTTTGGGAATATAAATCATGAATAACTCTCAAGTTGTTGAGTTTGAAAATATACAAATTATATGAATAGATTTGTCTTGAAAAATACTTTCATAAAAGTATACATATATCATTTTTCAATAAATATTTTCATAGAAACAAGAAGTCAAAGTTGTATTTTAAAGACCGTGTCGCTGTCCAAAACGACTTCTGATGACGCTCTCTCTCGTGGCCCGATCTTCTGGTGAGGGGATAACTCTCGCTTTAATCGAGTGCGACGTTTTTGACGTGGCTACCAACCAGAACAAGTCCAGGACGCCATGCAATCGCTACACCACAAACGATGTCGTACCAACCGTGACGCGCGGTTGATGATCCCTGCAATGCAAACGAGAGAACACTGTAAGAACAAGATAAGATGCAATCTAAATATTGCGAATAGGTGATTAAGCACAAAGGAATAGTTGCGATTAAAGTGGCAGATCTAATCGACCCGGCAAATCAACACACCAACTATTGGGGGCTCTAAATCAATAGTCGCCGACTAATCGAGCGAGGACTAGAGACAAGGTGAATGACACTTGGCAAAATTCAACTAAACAAAACCCAAAAGTTTTTGAGGATGTACAAAACTATTTATAGAGGAAAATAAAGCTAGGGTTAAGTGCTAATTCGTGGAGGTGGAGGGAGACACTTCCGAGATGGGCCTAGTCTATTACAAGGCCCAAGTCCCAAGTTCGGTTTCAGCAATAGCACTGTCTTGTTTTGGCGATTCCCGTTGACTCGAGATGAATTTGGACATGAGACCGGATGCGTTTGAAAGATAGCGAGATAAGCTTTCCACGAAGTCCAAGATCACCCAAATCGGAGTTGGCATGAAGGCGCTAGGTCCGTTTGAAGTCAGTGTTGTCTCCGGAGGCCGAACTGGACTTGGACTTGGAATTATCATTGGAACATGTGAAGTTATGAGCATATCCGACGAAGTGATGTCCTCATCAACTTCTTTTACGAGTACGGAGGGAGTACTCCAGTTAGCTTCAGATCAATAATTTCAACTGATCACTAAGGGTCCCTTTGAATAAAAAAAATTATGGAGGAATTTCATCGAATTGAAATTCTATAGTAATTTTTTTAATGTAGCCCTTTCATTCAAAGGATTAGAGTTTTCCAAATCCTATAAAATTCTTAAGAAATGGCTCACTGCATAAAAGCCTTGAAGAAAATTTAGCACGAGGTTCAACCTATTGGAAAAATTCCTTAGAGTCTATCTCTCTCATCCAATTCATGTGTTTTCATTGCGGTCCAATCAAAGGCTTATTCTTGTATTTTTCTTGTGTTTTACAACCCACTGTTTTACACTTACATTCCTACTAGAATCATGCGTTTTTTCTACTCTTTTCCTTTTTCAGTCCTATAATAAGGGGCTCTAAACGTCTAGCAACAACCAAAATCCATCCTTATGTTAACCTCACTAGATTTTGGCAAAGCACTTCTCCAAATTGTTTTTTCCAAATTCGTTTGTCCCTCAAATAGTTATCGTAAATCATTTTTATATCCTACCATCTCGATATTCAGCATGATAGATATACTTTTTTTTCCCGATGCATATCCATGTCAAAAAGTTTTTTTTACCCTACTGAATTTTTGCAAATGACTTGTCCAACCCCCCCCCCCCCCCAAAAAAAAGAAGAAGAAATAACCACACCGGCCATTACTACTCCCTCCGTCCCACGATATAAAGGATTTTGAGTTTTTGCTTATAACGTTTGACCACTCGTCTTATTCAATTTTTTTTTTGCAAATATAAAAAACGAAAAGTTGTGCTTAAAGTACTGTAGATAATAAAGTAAGTCACAAATAAAATAAATAATAATTTCAAAAAAAAATTGAATAAGACGATTGGTCAAACATTGCAAGCAAAAACTCAAATCCCTTATATTATGGGACGGAGGGAGTATAATATAAGGGATTTTAGGTAGATGTGATACATTCTAGTACAATGAATCTGGATAAACGGTTAATTTGTCCAAATTCATTGTCATAGGATGTGTCACATCCACCTAAAATATCTTATATTATGGGACGGACATAATACTATTGATCGATAATAACAAGTCATAACTTCGCTGTAGCCCCTTGTGTGAACCATGCGTGCCTGAAGGGCACCATCGAGGTCAGACTCGCGTCGCACAGTCGCATCGCACGCACCCGCACCGGCACCGGCCGACCGACCGGTCGCTGTTGCCTTGCCTCCCAACGGCGCCAACGAACCAAGTCGCGGTCGTACTGTGCGTGTAGTGGAGACAGTACAGCGGCGGTGGTGACACCAGCCACGCTGACGTCACGCGGGTGACGTCACCGAGAGAAGAGATCTTTTGGGCCTTTTCTCTCTTTCTCTCTCTTCGAATCCGTCTCCGTCGCCGCCTGCGGATGCTGCGGAGCGTCGCTGGAAAGAAACAAAGAGAGGAGGTGATCGAGGGTAGTACCCGACGTTGTCGCTGACGTCAGCTGGTTTCGTCAGAAGAAGAACAGAGTACAGAAAAAAAAATTTGAAAGGGACGACCACCCATGCATCGGTGTGCCTCCACCGATTCCACCCTGTTGCAGCGGGTGGTAGTCTTTTTTATTTTTGCTTCTTCTTTATTTTACTGTGTGCAGCCTTTTCACTTTCTCTTCTTTTTATCTTTCCCTCACTTTCCTTTGGACAGGTTTATCGAGCTACTCTCTTCGTACGAATATGTAGAAGTAGCAAGTTTTAGTTCTTTGACAGAGATATTATAAGAAGAAAAGTAAAAAGACTTGGTTGTGTTATTGGGATGCATGGTTAAGATATAGGTCTGAATAAGTTGAAGTTGGGATACTACGAATAGTTTAGTGGTAAAAGTCATATTTTTTTGTCAAGTACCACTTGTTGTTAAGTTTGAAATAAATTTTAAGTTTTAAAAGTTGTTATTTTCAGACGAAGGTGTACTAATTTAGCTAAGAAATCTTTTCCTCAACTATTTAGACAAAACTTTGAAATTGCCGGTAACTTATTTGTTTGTACAAGTTTTGTTTTTGAACCACATAGTAAAAACACATGTGCTCATATACATATGTGCAACCTACCACTTTTAAGAAACGGGGTCAACATGCTCCTCTATCATATCTTGATAGTATCGTGCCGTAATAAGAATTTAACTGTGACATCAGATTGTTTGTTTCTAAACTTTTGCCAGAAATGTTTAAATTAAAAATATATTATGGCATATCGATCTCTGGTTGAATTTGTTTTTGGAGGACCAGGTTATTTAAGTCATGGTTAATTTATGATACATGTTTGAAAGCCACTCCCAAAATCAATTGTAGGACAACCCTAAACGCCGTTCTTATAGTGTTGACTCAGCGTTTCTTTTGAGACCTAACAAAACCCGTTTATTCAATGATCCAAGTCAAACAGAAAATTGTACTATATATATACATTTTCAACGATGAACAATGCCACTGTATACCACATAGAAATTTTTTGTCAAAAAAGAAAAAAAAGTCTACACACACATCAGTATCAGAGAATCTCATTATTTGAACCAGCTAGCGCAACTGGAGGAGTACGCACGTAGTTTCTAACGCATTTTCCAACAGATGCCGTGAATAAACCCAAGTTAAAAACATATGCTAATTACTCCATCCATTTTATATTATATATCATTTTGAGTTAATCAAATTTCTTTAAATTTGGTCAAGCTTATAAAAAATATTTTAATACTTACAATATAAAAATAAACATATTATCAAAATGTATTCATTGTTAGATTTAATGGAACTAATTTAGTATTTTAGATGTTCTTAATTTTGACAAATTTAATCAAACTTAACAAAATTTAGCTAATAAAAATCAAAACAATTTATAGTATGAAAACGGGAAGGAGGAACTAAAGCTTTGTTTGTTTGTTTCTCTCTCCATTATTCTAACGAATTTGTTGGGGGTTTTTTTTTAGGATTGGACCAGAGAAGCAGAGACCGTTTGGTCGTCCAACGCATGAAGCAATATGGAATTTTGCAGTAAAAAAAAAACAAAATACAAAGACCAGCTCATCGCCCCCGATGGGTCAAGGCGTTTGCACGTTTTTAAAACTATAGTTCCCCCTCTCACGAGATCATGCGCGCCGGCTTCCCCACAGGACACGTCACCCTCCCTCCTGCCCCTACCCTCGCTGGTATTTATACCACCCGTCGCCTCCAAGCCACGACGCCACCGCCATTCCACCTCTCGCTTCGCTTCTTCTCCTCTCTCTCTCTCTATCTTCACCTCGCATCGTTGGAGATATGGAGGGAGTTGACGTGAAGGCGCCGCGGCCAGGCTGCGGCGGCGACGACGGCGGCGCGGCGGCGGCGTCGTTGTCGGCGCGGCGGGAGGAGGAGGAGGAGGGGGCGGTGGTGGGCGGGGAGGACGAGCAGGTGGAGAGGTTCTACGCGCTGCTGGCCAACATCCGGGCGTTGAGGGGCATGTACAGCCGGTACAACGGGGAGGAGGGCGCCGCCGGCGGCGATGGCGACGGGGCGAGCGGGAGGAAGCGGGCGAGGCGCGCGGAGCCGCCGTGGAGGCCGGCGTTCAGGATGGAGGACTTCGAGTTCGAGGAGGCCGCCGCCGGCGCCGGCGACGACGACGCGGCGTGCTCCGGCAGGACAACGAAGAAGCAGAGATCAGGCGGCGGCGGTCACGGCGCCGCCGTGGAGAAGCGGCGGACGGAGAAGGAGGCTGCCGCCGCCGCCGCCGAGGACGACGACGACGAGCAGGAGGGAGGCGAGGTCGTCGAAGGGAAGGAGGAACACCGACCGGGCCGCCGCGTCGAGGCCCACGGGCCCACTGACCAGTGAACATTAGCTAGCTAGCTGATCTCGTTGGAATTGGTCCTTCGGAAACAGAAGGCATTTTCGTTGGACTTTTCTGATTGATGTCCTAGTTTGAAATGTTCACATGTATGATAGCACTAGTAGTATCACGCAATCCATGTGCCAGTCTTGATTTGCAAATTGCAATGTACTTATCAAAATTGGTGATCATGGACTATCCCAGCTGTGCATGGGTAAACCATTAGTATTTGAGATCAGGTTTTTTAATTTCGAAATTGGTTTTTTTGCCGGGGAACCGAAGTTTCGGAAATTTCGAAATTTTTTGGTCGAAATTATTTAAAATTTTGACTTATTTTCAATGAATTTGAATAAAATTTGACTAAATTCACAAAAAATTGCAAGAAAAACTAAAAATTTCGGGCAAGATATGAGCTTGCCCGAGGGAAACGAAATTTCAATCCCTGTTTGAGATAGACTAACACACATCACTCCAATTAGTTTAAACTTGAACTGCGGTAATATATGCATTTCAAAAAGGAGATTTAAGGAAGAATGTCAGTATTTTAAGCAGTTAAGCACCTCTGAAGATTTGGTAATGCGAATAGGTGTTCGATCTTCCGGTAGTTTCTATTTTGCAACGTGAGCCATATCTTGAGATTAGCAAAGTAACTATAGATATTTAGTTGTCGACGGACGACCTACCACTAAAACAATATTTTGCTATAAATGCGATGATCTATGCTAAGTGTATGATTTAAACTCAGATGATGAACAGCTTCACCACAAGACAAAGAACCTAACCAGCTGAGAAAATAATTAGGTATAAATGTGATGATCAACGTTAAGTATGTAACCTAAACTCGGATGAACAGTTTCACTACAAGAAACCCAACCAAGTTACACTCAGTTTACAAGGTTAGGTGGTGTTTGTATCTCCTAAAAATGAAGATTAAGTGTTTCACGTAAAATGAGATGGTAATAACGTGTGATTAATTGAGTTTTAATTATTACAAACTTGAAAAATGGATTAATCTGATATTTTAGAGCAACCTTTATATAGAAAGTTTTCGTATGAAATACACCGTTTAGCAGTTTGAAAAGCATACCATGAGAATCTAAAATTTCATCCAACAATTGTTGGACATTCGAACGCAGCCACTAGTATAGTTTTCATGTCACTTTAACGTAAACGGAAAACATACTTCACAAGACAGGAATTTCGTAAAAGAAAAGGTTGAAGAGATCAAACTAAGGCCCTTTTTAGATCCCATATAAAAATTTTACACCATATCACATCGAACGTTTAACACTTGTATGAAGTATTAAATATAGACTAAAAAATAACTAATTGCACAGATTGCGACTAATTTGCGAGACGAATCTTTTAAGCTTAATTGCTCCGTGATTTGACAATGTTGTGCTATAGTAAACATTTGCTAATAACGGATTAATTAGGCTTAATAAATTCGTCTCGCGGTTTACTGATGGATTCTGTAATTAGTTTTTTTATTAGTACCTAAACACCCCGTGCGACACCCTATATAATATCCGATGTGCAACGCCAAAACTTTACACCCCTGATTTAAACACCCCTTAATTAAAGTGTATGGAAATCTTGCAAAACTCTCATATTACAAAGCACTGGCAGAGAAAACCTTTTTACTCCCGGTTGGGAACCCCCTTTAGTCTCGGGTTTCCAACCGGGAATAGCAATCTAGGACTAAAGATGGTTGAAATAACCGGGACTAAAGATGAATCTTTAGACCAACCGGGACCAACCGGGACTAAAGATAGAGTATCTTTAGTCCCGGTTGTTGTTACCAACCGGAACTAAAGAGGATAGCTAGGTTTTTTTCCTTTTTTATTTTCTCCCGAATCTAGGTAGTATGCATATCCTTTTTTATTTTCTCCTGAATATGGGTGGTATGCATATCCCAAATCAAAGTAAGATCCCAAGTCCACATTACAAATCTGAAAGTTCTAAAAAAATTACATCACAAATCAAATATATCACAAATCCTAAAAAAAATTACACACAAGTCAAATTACATCACAAGTTTCTACAAAATTCATCACAAATACATCACAAGTTCATATCACACACAAATCAAATTCATCACATGATCATGCAATAAATCACAAATTCTTAAAAAAAAACAAACAGAGGAGCCGGCCGGCCGGCCACCGCCACGCGGCCCCACCGCGCCGCCCGCCCGCTGCCGCGCCGCCTCCCCTCCGCACCGGCCGGCCCCGCGGCGCTGCCTGACGCCGCGCCGCCGCCGCGGTCCTCCGCGCCGCTGCCCACCGCCGCGCCGGCCTCTCCTCCGCGTCGGCCGGCCACCACCGCCCGTCCCTCTGCGCCGCCGCGCCGGCTGCCGCCCGGCCCGCTCTCGCTCCGATCCAAGTGGCACTAAGGAAGAAGAAAGGGTAAGGATAGGGAGTTAGAGGGGAAAAAAGAGATAGAGAAAGAGTTTGTTGTGTGGACGGGAAAAGAGGATAAGTAATAGGGATTATATAATACGTGTTGATTTTTAATTCCGGTTAGTAACACCAACTAGGAATAAAGTTAGATCTACCAACCGGGACTAAAGATCCTAGCCGCCTGACACGGTCTGACATAGAGACAACCGGGACTAAAGATCTTTACTCCCGGTTGGGGTAACCCCAACTGGGAATAAAGATCATCTAGTCCTGTTACGCTTATAAACCGGGACTAAAAATCGTTTTTAGTCCCGGTTTTTAAAGGAATCGGGACTATTGTGGATTTGAGTTGACCGACCAAAGATGGTTTCTCTACCAGTGAAGAAATCCAAGTTTCTAACCCTAGTTTGTTTAGTTCGCCCACCATGATGTGATAATTTTGACCACCGAAACCCCTAAGCAGAAAGAACAGGACATTTCCACGTACAGTTCATTCAGATCAGCATTTCCATGTAGTTGAGCGTGCGGCGTGGGTTCCACGTACAGTCTTCTCAAATTTCTAATTTTCTCTTCTCTCAACCACACCGAGCGTACAATATGCACGAACAGACAAACTGAAACCAGAGGTAAAGACAATACTGGAGTAATATATAGAAAGCTAATTCCTCAATAGTGTTACAAAGTTTCTTAACGAACCGTGACCCGCTAATTTACTAGTACAATTATTTAAGTGAAACTGTGAGAGTACAAATAACTTTAACCGTAGGCTGCTAATTAAAGAAAATAGTAGCATACACACCATGCAGCGGAAGTATCGATGGTGTAGGGGACAGGGCCTGAGACATCTTGGGCTTGAGCTTCAAAACTCCATGTAATTTTCTTTAGAAATTGTATGAGAATTTTCAAAAATATATAATGCCTAACTAAAATTGTCAAATTCAGTCTTAGACTTGCAAAAAAAAAAACATCCACCACTGATGGTATAGTGTAGTAGTTATTGATGCACAACTCACCCACTGGGGGTTTTAAATCCTAATGCCTTCAATAGGATTTTAAAGAATCCACGTACTTAAAAAAGTATTTGAATATGATATGTAGTGGTGTGTATATGCATCTTTAGTATTCAATGTAATCGAATAAAAAACATACATAGGATTTCAACTAACGGTTCCATCCTAAATGTAGAGGTTGGAGATATTTTCATATAAAAGAATACAAATAAAACAGTAAAGATCACATGAGGTAAAAGAGTAAAAAAAAAGATTAATTCATAAGTACAGTGGTAAAAGAATAATTGGTCAATGGTGTGTGGTTTATATGAAACACTATAACCATAATATCCGAGATTATATGTTTAAGTGTTATAGATAAGGCATATATAATATATATTTTTGTGTTAAACTCGGTGGGACCCACCATATACCAAGTTTTATACTGAATCAATCCTAATATACGAAAAGTATTCCAGATAAAGAAAGAGGAAAAAGAGTCTACTCGATACTACCAGGACTATTTGGATCGTATAATACTTGCCTACTTAGTTTTACTTAGAAAAAGGCACACCCGAAGATATAAATACAAGTCCCACTAGAAGAAGTGGGAGGCCAAGACAGAACACAAGCCAATACAGATCTAAACAAATACAAAACAACTTCAAACCTCACCAAGTTCATAGTACTCGAGAAATAAGATTACACTAGTTGTCAACCACATGTGAGAGCTCCATGCGGCTAGGCCAACAGTGACTAGATTAGGTCATCCCAAATATTATACTCGCGTGATGTTGATAGATAAAGGCAACACCGGCTTCAACCAAGAAGAGCAGGGCTATTACTTGTTAGTTAAGGTCATGACCATGTATAAAAATCCTTGTCTTTCATCTCTTTTACTTCAATCTTGGTGACACCAACTACCCCCATACTCTATAAATACCATAGGTGGATATAGTACTCTCTCGTCAATGTGTCATGTGTCAAAATTTATGGAGTATGTTTTATGTAATCAATATTACTTAGGGTTATACTAGAAAAATGCATGTGTGTTGCAACAGATAAGATGTTTTTAAATCAGCATACGTTATACTCCTTTCTTAGTTTTGGGCCGAAAGCCAATCCCTTTCTTCTTTTTCAGCCCTAGCCCAGTCTGCTACCTCCCTCCGCTCGGCCTGCCTCTCTTTGGTCCAACCTACAGCTGGAGCCGTAGGTCTAGGTCGCACGTCTTCAACCTCCAGAAGATGGTGTCGTGCTCGTACAATACCATAATTGATTCTCCCCATCAAATCCGTCCGAATCTTTGTCGATCTTCTAAAATTGGTTTAGGGTTTTTATCCACTCGATCTTCTCTTTCCTTTTTTTCCAAAATTGGAGTGAGCAAAACTTGGGATAAAAATGGCCAAGTTAGCTTGCTGGCCTGCCATCATCGACGACGGTTAAATGGAGATTAAATCCGGCCAATTAAAGCCGAATTTAAGGGGCAAATCATGGGGAAATGATGAGGGATGAGTGTGAAATCGATTTTTGCAATCAATTGGAGGAGAAAACGCATGAAGAGATATATCGATGTGGTGGTGGAGCTAGAGATAGGTATAGCGAAGGGAAAAGACGGTGACGAAAAGAAAACCGAAAAGCCAGAAGCCCTTACCGCGTGCGAGAAAAAAACCGCAACGAAAAAACGGTGGCGGAAAAAAACCGTATGAGAAAAAAAAATGAAAAATAATAAAACCGCGACGGAAGAAAACAACGAAAATACGAACGGAGCATAAAACTGAAAGGCTTACAGATAAGATCCGGATAATAATAATAATAGAACTGGAAGGCTTACAAGTTTTTTATCAGGTATATAGATTA